GCTGGGGTTTATCCCGGGGGACGAAAGGGTGGCTTCCCTGCACCTTCGGGTCGGGGAACGGGTCCTGACTGTTGTTTGTGCTCATGGGCCAAATATCAGTTCAGATTACCCACCCTTTTTGGAGTCCCTGGGACGAGTCCTAGATAGTGCTCCATCAGGGGACTCCATTGTCCTGCTGGGGGACTTCAATGCTCACGTGGGCAATGACAGCATGACCTGAAGGGGTGTGATTGGGAGGAATGGCCCGCCTGATCTGAACTCGAGTGGTGTTTCGTTATTGGACTTCTGTGCAAGCCGCAGTTTGGCCATAACGAACATCATGTTCAAACATAAGGATGCCCATCAGTACACTTGGTACCAGGGCAGCCTAGGTCATGTCACGATGTAGGTGTGGATGACGGCGGACCATGTGTGGCAGAGCTGACCAGGAGGTAAAAATGCAGGCTTCAGTAAAAGTAAAATGGTTTTAATGGAGGACTGGGAATGACAGGAACAAAACACAAGGACTACAAGCATCAACAATGATCTGACAAAGGACAGGAGCAAAACAGGTGGTATAAATACAGAAGGCTAATTAGGGAAATATGGGCAGGTTAACGAGGGACAGGTGAGAACAATACAGACTAATCAGGGCAGGAGAGAAACACAGTCAGGAGGGCAGGGGCAGAACGTGACAGGTCACAAGTCGATGATAGACTTTGTAGTCGTTTCATCTGACCTGCGGCCGTATGTTTTGTACACCCGAGTGAAGAGAGGAGTGGAGCTGTCAACTGATCACCACCTGGTGGTGAGTTGGAACAGATGGCAGGGGAAGATGCCGCGTAGACCTGGCAGACCAAAATGCATAGTGAGGGTCTGCTGGGAACGCTTGGCCGAAGAACCTGTCAAGATGGACTTCAACTCCCACCTCCGACAGAGCTTTCACCGCGTCCCGAGAGCAGTGGGGGACATTGACTCCAAATGGGCCTTGTTCCACTCTGCGATTGTTGAGGCGGCTGTTGCTAGCTGTGGTCGCAAGGTGGCCGGTGCCAGTCGTGGTGGCAACCCCTGCACCCGCTGGTGGACACCAGAGGTTCGGGAGTCGTCAGGCTGAAGAAGGAGGCCTACAGGGCGTGGCTAGTCTGTGGGTCTCCGGAGGCAGCAGACGGGTACCGGATAGCCAAGCAGGGTGCAGTAGTGGCAGTTGCCGAAGCAAAATATCGGGCGTGGGAGGAGTTTGGTGAGGTCATGTAGAAAGACTATCGATCGGCGCCAAAGAGGTTCTGGCAAACTGTCCGGCGCCTCAGGAGAGGCAGGCAGTAACTCACTCACACTGTTTACAGTGGGGATGGGGAGCTGCTGACAACAACTGGGGGTATAGTCGGACGGTGGAAGGAATACTTTGAGGAGCTCCTCAATCCCACCTACGCGCATTCCGTGGAGGAACCAGAGCCGGGAGACCTGGGGATGGACCATCCAATCTCGGGCGCAGAAGTTGCTGAGGTAGTCAAACAACTCAAGTGGAGGAGTTTAAGTATCTTGGGGTTTTGTTCATGAGTGAGGGTAGGAGGGATTGGGAGATCGACAGGCGGATTGGTTTGGCGTCTGGAGTGATGCGGATGCTGAGCCGATCTGTCGTGCTGAAGAGAGAGCTGAGCCAGAAAGCCAGGCTCTTGATTTACCTGTCGATCTAAGTCCCAATCCTCACCTATGGTCATGAGCTTTGGGTAATGACCGAAAGAACGAGATCACGAATACAAGCGGCCGAAATGAGTTTCCTCCGTAGGGTGGCCGGGCTCAGCCTTAGAGATAGGGTGAGGAGCTCGGACATTCGGGAGGGACTCGGAGTAGAACCACTGCTCCTCTGGATCGAAAGGAGTCAGTTGAAGTGGGTTGGGCATCTGGTCAGGATGTCTCCTGGACACCTCCCTGGGGAGGTGTTTCGGGCATGTCCTGCCAGCAGGAGGCCCCCGGGTCGACCCAGGACACGTTGGAGAGGTTACATCTCCAATCTGGTCCGGGAACGCCTTGGGGTCCTGCCGGAGGAGCTGGTGGAGCTGGCCGGGGAGAGGACGGTCTGGAGCTCCCTAGTTGGGATGCTGCCCCCACGACCCGGGCTCGGAGAAGAGGAGGAAGACGACGACAACGACAACAACCTTAGCTCAGCAGCATCTGGCCAAGGCCCAAAGATACCAGAAGCATTGGTATGACAGGTCGGCACGGGAAAGGGACTTTCTACCAGGGCAGAAGGTCCTATTCATGTTGCCAACCCGTGAGAGTAAGCTTCTGGCTGAGTGGCAGGGGCCGTATGAGGTGGTGAAATGGCTTGGGCCCACCACGTACGAGGTATGTGACCCTTGTAGGTCCCATTCTAAGATAGTGCTGCATGTGAATCTCCTTAAGGAATGGACACCCCGTTCTTTAACAGGGGCAGGTGTGATGTTGATCCGAGTAGTAGCAGAGGAGGATGTTGATGACCAGTACATGCCCTCCCCATCCTCTACAGTTCGTAATCTCAGTCACCTGACCATGGAACAGCAAAACCAGATAAAAATGTTGTGTCATCCTCAAGTTTTTGCTGAGTATCCAGGGCACACAGACATTCTTGAACACAACATTGTGTTAAAACGCGATGCAGTTGCTAAATGCATGAGCTGCAGAATCCCTGAGCGTCTGGGTTCCTTTAAGGCAGAAGTGGAACTGATGCAGTCCCTTGGGATTACTGAAGACTCCAAGAGTGAGTGGTGTAATCCTGTGGTTCTGGTCCCTAAGAAGGAGGGGGAATACGCTTTTGCATTGACTTCAGGTATCTGAATTTGGTATCAAAGTTTGATTCCTACCCTACACCACGTATTGATTATATGATTAACAGATTGGGAAAATCCATGTTCCTGAGTACCCTTGACTTATGTAAAGGTTATTGGCAAGAGCCACTTTCTCAGGAGTCAAGGGAATTCACTGCCTTCCGGACCCCATGGGGCCTGTTTCAGTTTGCAGTTTTGCCGTTTGGGTTGCATGGGGTACCTGCCTCATTTCAGCGGCTGATGGATGAGGTTCTGAGGGGTTGTGAAGACTGTGCATGGGCTTATTTAGATGACATTGTTATCTTCAGTACGTCATGGGAGGATGACATGCAGCACCTTCAATCCATTCTGAGTCGCCTCCAAGATGCTGGGCTCACGGTGAACCCCTCCAAATGTGTGTTGGCCCGTCGTGAGGTAGATCACCTGGAGTTTTGAGTAGGTGATGGGGTTGTTAGGCCCCTGGTCGCTAAAGTGCAAGCTCTTGAGTCTTGTCAAACACCCAGAACCAAGAAGCAACTCAGGTCATTTCTGGGGTTGGCAGGTTATTGCCACCGATTTATTCCCCACTTTTTATCTAGGGCTGCTCCACTCAGACATGACTGGATCAAAGTATCCCAATGTCATCCGGTGGACAGAGAAGGCCATGGCAGCATATCAAGACATGCAACATGCTCTTGGTAAGGAGTCTGTCCTCAAATGTCCTGGCTTTGATGAACCGTTTGTTTTACAGACGGATGCCTCTGACAGAGGTATTGGTGCAGTCCTCCTCCAAGGTCACGAGAATCTGCATCCAGTAGCTTTTATTAGCTGTAAGTTGTTTCCTAGGGAGGTGAGATATTCAGCGGTGGAGAAGGAGGCCTTGGCCATTAAATGGGCTTTAGACTCTCTGAAGTTCTACCTCCTTGGCAGGGAATTTGTTTTGCACGCTGACCATAAGGCTTTGCAGTGGCTGTACTGTATGAGGGACACTAACAGCCGCGTAACCCGATGGGCCTTAGCGCTGCAACCTTTTCATTTCACAGTTCAACATGTGCCAGGCAGGGAGAATGTTATGTTTGATTACCTTTCCCGCTGGGGCGGTGTGGACTCTTAAGGAGGGGGGACTGTGACGGCAGTGTCTGTCACCTCAAGGGTATGGTCTTCTGGTAATGTTTGTTTGTTTTTTGTGTTCTGACCAGGATGACTGGTTGATGTGCTCACAATCAGTTTTCTAATGTATATGAATGCATGTGTTTTTGTATTTTATGAATGAAATAAAAAAAGGATAAAATAAAATTTCACTAAACCCACAGTAACACAGTATAAAATAATAGCAAGAAAACAATGTTTAGAAAATTGAACTACTGGCTTATGTTAATATAAAAACATGACTCGCTGTTATATTTCATCATGTAATTAATGCTGCCTTTACAAAGAAAACATATTCATTTGCACCTTTAGATCTCTTGATGAAGGTACTAATACTGATACTCCATCTTGCTGCTCTAAAACCAGAAGTGTCATTTTAAAATATCCATTTCATTACAGATAAAGCTTTAAATAACAATTCAACCCGCTCACCCTTATGAATATGAAAAAAAGTTACCGCTTTTGTATTTATGCACATGAGTTACCAATTTATGCACATGAGTTACCAAGTTAGTGAAAAGGGTGAGGAAAACAAGCAGCCTGATCATATTCAATATAAAATAATCACTCTGCTGCAACACCCTGCACGCCTAAAGCCAGTGAATCCCCTCAGAGCAGCATGACCTCATCAGTCATTTAGTAAAAGGAGTTCAGGTCATCCAGACATGTCATCCTCCGCACAAAAACAAACGCTGTCAGGAAAATTTCTGACTCACGACTACAGAACAAAGCCAGTTACAGCTCATTCATAAATATCCTGTAACAGCCAGCAGCAGCTGTGGGTGAGGGAGATCGTGCTGCTTGTCTTGCTGTGTTTGTGGACAGCAGATGTATAATGATAAGTAAACAGGACTCTTGCTTTCTGCAGCTGTTAAGCCAGATGCCAACATGTTAGTACCAGCTGTTTGCTGAGCGCCCGCTGCCATATCTGTGATAACAAAAGAGCGATGTCTCACATGTATGTCTGGATTTAGTGAAGTTCTGGATGACAAAACACAAAAGGTTTTCTTCATTTGCTTTTTATGACAACAAACACCAAATGTCAGTGCAACTCAAGGTCACATCATCATTCACAACAGCTGATGATCAGTAAAGGCTATCAGTCCATTTTATTCTCAGAGAGACTCAGGCAACAGAGCACAAATGATTACAGCCCACCTTACGGGTCACAGATGCAGGACATCAATAAGAAATCCACAAACATGCAGGCCTCTCATCTCTTTTTACTGTTGCTATAAAAGGGAGGTCCACCCTAGAACAGAGAAATACACACAGCAATAATCCTGGAGTGATGCAATAAGTAACTGTTGCACATGTTTCAGCCTGTGTGGCCTTGAGGTGATCGGAACAATAGCTGAACCGGGAAGGAGACAAGTCAGAAAAGGCAGAAGCATAAACATGTTGTTTTTTGGTGGAGCTTTTGTCATAAATTTAAAGGTGTGGGAAACTTGTTTAATCAATACATTTGCAGTGGTATCTAGTAGGAATGAATACCTTGCATGTTGTACTGAAGGGGTAAAAACACCAGTGCACCATTTCCAGGAACTAGATGTGATCCACATCACAGCTGAGCTTCAGACGGCAGGATTTGGACTCTATTTGGACATCTCGCCTCAGATTGCTGAGACTCTACCACTAACTCCATTTGCTCTGCAATGTTGATGTTCTATCTCCATAAATAACACAAGCCTGAAGGAGTTCTGCTGTGTGGTGAAGTTGCTAACGCTAACAGCTAGCTTCTACTAGCTGAGACGTCCTCTGCTCTTTGCTAAACCAACAACAGCCTACCCCGTCATGAGCCAAGATGGGTGAGTCCATGAATGTTAAGCAACAATATGGTGTAGATCTGCCAGGCTTTTCTAATTCTAGAGTTTCACCGTCTAATTCCAATCAGAAGCTATCAGGAGATTGTTGTAGGAGACTATGTTCTTGTTCAGCCTGCATGAAACACTCCGAAAGATCGATTATAATCAGAAATAAATTTTAAAATTTGTTTTATTGGCATTCCACACCTTTAAATATTTAAACCAAGCACCCTTGTCATTTGAGGAGATGGGTGTTCACTCAAACATCCCCGCTACGTAAAGGAGGTGTTTCGATCGTGCAGCAGCTTTGTGGAAGTGTTGCCCTTGCAGTCAGAGGTCAGACTTGTTTTATCTGCAGCCATGTCCACATCACACACCCCCACCATCTGCTTGGCTTCGTCCTCACAGAAAGGAAGCACAGCGACATCCTCTGGGTTTAAGCTGGACTTGTGATAGGAGCTTGGGGAGTTGGTGGGACTGAGCTGGACGGCAGTTGTGTCCTGAAGTGTGTGCTCGCTGGTCTCCATTTCAAAAGTTGCTGTCCCCATCCTCTTCAGCCCCCACTTTTCCTTCCCTTGGGCTTTCTTAGCCAGCTGGGCTGCTGGTTGTCTGCTGACCACACAGCAGGCTGTAAAGAAAGCCAAAGCTGCCAGTAAGAGCAGAGGTCCGATGATGATTGGGGGGTTGCTTGTGGGGATGAAGGTGCCAAAAGCGAAAGCTCCCACCAGGGTGATGTTGATGCCAGCCAGCAGGATGCAGAGGCCACAGGCACAGCACAGTGCTGGGGAGGGCAGGCTCTGGAGCTGAAGGGGATGCTGGTCTGAGATTTTTGGGGCAGCAGAGGCTCTGGAGGTTTTATGAGACAGGACCATGTTTCAGCAGATCAACCTCTTCATCACTTCCTGGAGAAAAGAAATACTTGACTTCATCTGATCTGACACTCAACTTTGGGCAGACACTTTGAAATAATTTCATAACTAATCTCCATAGAGAGCGATACGGCACATGTGCCTCTAAAGTCTCAGGCGCACGTGATGGTAGCTGCCAAGTTGACGCAAAGGAGAAATAAATACAATATACACAAAAAGCTTTAAAACAACATTGAATGATCCCTCAACGGTTTTCAGCCACTTACCTCTAATCAGACTTGTTGTGCAGCTGAGGATCCGTCCATGTTTTGTCTCTGCACCATGCTGAAGAGGAGCTGCGGAGCAGAAGTGGTCTCTGTCCACCAGGTGAAGCAACTAGGGCTTCTGCGCAGCTCATCACCGACTGATAGGGGGCGCTCAAGAGCCCGCCCAAACCAATCAAATCAATCCTGTACTAGTTATAAACCAAAATAAACATCTGATTTTAAATAGACTTCAAATGGACAACGTTTTGTGTTGCTGTAGCTTTTACCAGTTAAACTGGACAATGAAAACCCGTTTCTACACACGATAACTCAGTTTTCCTCTGATTTCAAAGACATATGATTTTTTGTTTTCTGTGCTGGCTACCCACTGTTCAGTCCTCTCAGCCTCCACAGCACAAACACAAACTCACAATGAATAAAAGCCTTTGATTCCTTAAAGCCATTAAATCTCAAACATTTGAGAAAATGATGCACCAAATTAAACAAGAGGTCATTTTTGTTTTTTATTGAGAACACAGCATCCCTTTATGGCAAACTCACTCCAAGAACTTCACTCACAGGACTCCTTCAACACGCATTACTGCATCTCATTTAACATTGTGGCTGACAAGAGGGGGGAGAATATGATATAATGAGGCTTTTATTACAGCAAGTGCCATTTCTTAATGCAGTCTGAGCAAATCCCTCATTTCCTGTGAGCCGATGAAGGCCCTTAGTTGCTATAGGGATGTGGTGTCCATGGCAACAGTGTGAGGCGAGGGGAGCTGTTGTTTAGCAGCTGCAAACAAAGTTAAAACGGCAAACTCCCATTTGAAATCCCACTGAAACACAGATTGTTACTAATTTAATAATTTGATGTTGAGTTGTTGTTATTGTTGTTGGCCTCAAGGGCAACATGCCAATTATCACTTGTAAGTGGCTTTGGACAAAAGTGTCTGCTAAATACATAAATATAAACATAAACATAATAAAACTTATTAAAAATGAGAAAACTTAGTAAACTTTATGAACTCAAAGGCAACCCTCAGCTTGGTCCATCAATCTTTCTATTGGCACATTCAGAGAACCATGGAAATACTTAGGTAGGTGAAACCATAATACTAGCTACTGTAACAGCAACACATCCCTTCTACACTCGTATGCAAGATTCAGGAAAAATAACTTAAATATCTTCTTGATGCGATGGATCACTGAGAACTGTAGTCATCTCTGAAAAGTGAAACATGAGCAAACGAAGGCTTCATGAAATCCTCACAACTCACTTGTTTTTATTTTAAAGTACGCAAGTGCTACAGGTAGCTTGTGTTGACGTAAAAGCTAAATACACATTCTTACCCCTGATCTTTCTACCTGCATGTTTCCCTGACAGCCAAACACAAACCGGTAAAATGAAGAGAAGTCGTTCTCTTCTATATGTAACACACACACAACACACAACACACAACACACACACACACACACACACACACTTTAAAAAAGCAAAACCCATCCATTTTCATCAGTAACTAAAAAGCTTAATATTAACAGATTCACAGCTGAATAAGAGAAAATAAAAGTCTAATCAAATTGCATTAGGACAGAAACATCTGCACCACTGTCCCGAATGTTCTGCTGAGGATGTGTTTCATAACAAACGGCTGGCTTTAAGAGGTTTGTGTTGTTTTGGATCATCATATATAAATAAACCTGATATGTTCTAAAAGCTAATGCTAATCTGACAAGCGATCGTCCCCGTTTAAAAATCAGACTAAAGCTCTTTTCATTTAGAAAAAGGTGCCAGCTGACAATTAACAATCCTCCTGGTGCTCGGGCTATTTAAAAGTTGAGATTGTCGACCATGATGAAAAGCCTTCAACACCAGAAACAGTCACCTCGGATATCGACTCACCGATCCCAGCAAACTCACTGTGAAAACAATAAAAAAAGGCAGAAAAACGAGCCGACGGAGGCTGGGATCGATCAGAACACAACGAGGGAAGTTGAGCTCGTGTTTCAGGCGGCGAGGTCATCAGAGGCAGGTGAAAAGTCGCTGCTGCGCAGCGCGCTGGACTGGGCCCGTCTGCGGGCCAGTCTGGAGTTGGAAGGAGGAGAGAGCCTCATGGAGCAGACAATCGCTCCCACGTCCTCCTGATGCTCGTCGTGCTGGGATAGCTGCCGGTTAAAGGCGATGGCGTCTGCTGCAAACTGGCTCAGGTCTTTGGTGCTGCTGTTCCTAAAGAGCGAGGAGGCACATGAGAGAAACATCTATCCCTTCTGACTCGTGAGCTGTGTTCAGCAATGCAGATATTTGTTAATATAATTTATTTGTTTCAACGAAACCTTATAAAATCACACAATTCTGAGACAAACCTCTGCAGAACACGAGGAGTTGGAAGACCTCTCTCTGGAGCTTTCTGCAGAAAAACATACAAAACTAGTAACTTACAGCTTTAAAATTATTAAGGAAATTTGATTTGAATTTTACTTAAGATAAAGAATTAATTCAGTTTAATTCAAAATTTCAAGTAATACTCACCCCCTGCACCCAAGGATGCTGGAGGACCTGAGCGGCGCTGAGGCGCAGGGTGGCGTCCCGAACCAACAGCTTGGATATGAGGTCTTTGGCACCTTCCGTGATGTGTGCCCAGTCCTTGTCCGGAAACTCGTACTTGCCTTCCTGGATGCTCTCAAACAGCTGACTCTGAGGAAACAGGGTTACACAAACATCAGAGTCCCAGAAACTAGAAGACAGTTCCAGATGTGCTCATGAATCTGTTACTGCGGTCATCATAAAGACACCTTTCAACACAGGGCTGGAAATAAAGATAATCTGGATCATTGTTTAAAAATTAATCTATAAAGCAATGCCTTATGAGTGATTTATAAAAAAAAAGGATGCTCCTGCTCTGAGACGCAAAAGCCTTTCTGTGGGCGGGCACGACACAATATGGGCGAAGCCAGGAATACTAATTCACAGCGTGACGTAGATACGTCAGATTTTCAAATCCTAGCATTTCACCGTCAAATACCCTTTAGACGCACCACCTTTAGTAAACAGGTTTTATCGATTAAAGGTGCTGAAATCTGAAACATCAATTTAAAAACGATGGCTCAGGGGGACTCGGATCTGCGATCACTAAGTTCGGCTGCTATTTATAAGTCTGTTATATGGTAATGTGTTTTTAATGACAGTCTTATGTATTTATAAGGGTCTTATGAACTCTCAGACCGTTTGGTTTTATAAGTATTGACATATTGTATTCTTTATGTTGTTGTTGTTGTTGCTATAGCATATTTGTTATTAACTTTGCCATATACACCACCTCACTGGGTGAGATCATTCGATGACATGGCTTCTCCTACCACTGCTACGCAGACGACACCCAGCTCTATCTGTCATTTCCACCGGATGACCACACTATCTCAGCACGAATATCAAACTGTCTCTCTGACATCTCAAAATGGATGAAATCCCACCATCTCCAACTCAACTTCTCTAAAACTGAACTGCTTGTCATCCCAGCAAAACCATCCATACAGCACAATATCTCAATCCAGAATGACTTCCTATCTCTGGCCCCTTCAAAGGCAGTTCGAAATCTGGGTGTTGTGATTGATGAACACCTGAGCTTTAAAGATCATGTTGCCTCTGTTGCCCGTTCATGCCGCTTTGCGCTGTATAACATACGAAAGATCAGACCATACCTAACACAACATGCCACCCAGCTCCTGGTTCAATCTACTGTCATCTCCCGCCTCGACTACTGCAATGCCCTTCTAACTGGTCTTCCAGGCTGTACTGTGAGACCTCTTCAAATGGTCCAGAACGCAGCGGCGTGTCTGGTCTTCAATCAGCCAAAAGGAGCACACGTCACCCCTCTGTTCATTGAGTTCCACTGGCTACCGCTAGCAGCACGCATCAAATTCAAATTGTTAACACTAGCATACAAAGTCCGAGATGGTACGGCTCCCATCTACCTGAATCCTCTTGCAAAGGCTTACGTCTCGGCCCGGCCGCTCCGGTCATCACAGGATTGTCGGCTAGCAGTGCCTACACCACGCTCAGGACAATCCAGACTTTTCTCATGCATTGTTCCACAAATGTGGAATGACCTTCCTAACACTACCAGAACTGCGGCTTCCTTTTCTATTTTCAAGAAACTCCTGAAGACCCTGCTCTTCAGAGAGCGTCTTCTTAACTAGAACCTTGTCTGCACCTGTCCCCCCTCTCTACTGTCCACTCCTTGTTCCCTCCTCTCCATGACTGATGTCAATTTGTTGTTGTTACTATTGTTGTTAGCCTCAAGGGCAAAATGCCGATTATCACTTGTAAGTCGCTTTGGACAAAAGCGTCTGCTAAATACATAAACATAAACTTGAGGTTTATATTGTTTTTAACGTGCCAGGGACTACAGATGAAAAGTAGCCTTAGGGCTAATTATGGCATCTTTACATTCACATGTTCATGAATATGCATTGTCCCTTTCAAATAAACAAATACGAAGCTAATGCAGGAGATGGGTGTAGAAGGCTTATTTTCATGTTCAGCAACAAGATTTTTCAGTGAACCACACCTTTAAAAATAACCAAGTGTGAGATTATATATTCCTTTACATTTTTAAACTGAAAGCTTTGTTTCAGAATCAGAAATGATGTATATAATTTCCAACACTGATCCTCTAAACATTGTAATGCCTTCCTACTTCCTCTAGCATGCATGCAATTGTTGATTTGACATATGCATAAAGTAAAACCGGATTTTAAAAGAATCCAGCTGTCAGGTAGCCAATTTCTAATTTCATCACAGGAAGAAAAAGATCAGACTGAATCATTTTCTCATATACGTAAACAAATCTCATATTTCACCTCAAAGGAAAGGTGTGAGCTGCATAAATAATTCAGAACCAGTAATAATGATGCACTGATTCTGGTTCTGACGGCCCAAACCCAAATTCCACTTAGAGAATCTGCTTCGGTTAGCATGCATTAGCTTAACTATGATGAGGTTATAGGTCAGGAATAATAATGGATTTATCGATTCTTGACAGATCCCCAAAAAAATCCGACAAGTGAGTTTCAGCTCAGCCAGTCATGCTGTACATTTGCTAGTTTTGACAAATGTTTTAATCAACTCTGAAACTAATGAATCAATTAGTTAGTTTATTATGTTTGACATATTTATAAAACATTTGTTTTCACTAGATTCTCACCTTTTGTCTCTTTGCAACAACTCCTCTAAAATTGGGTTTTATTATAAACTTGAGTCCAGTTGCATCATAGTTCAGACAGTGCTGCTAAAATAATTAAAAATAAAAAGCTCTGATGGACACTAAACACAGAGACAGAAGACATCATACCTGGCACGCTCTGCACGTTTCTCCACGATCCCAGCCACAGTCGGTACCACAGTGGCCCGTGAAGGGAGGGCTCCCACTCAGCAGGATGTAGAGGATGACGCCGAGACTCCATAAGTCACAGCGCTTGTCATAGAAGGAAGCTTCGTCTGTGAACACCTCCACCACTTCAGGAGCCATGTACTCTGCTGAGCCACACTAAGAGGGTAACAAAAAAGGTCAAAATACTGAAAAATCCAGCCGCTATTGATGATGTGCATGTCTGTACCGGTGTGGTGAGCTCTGGAGTCGTTATGGGGGTACAGGCACTGCTTAGCTTTACTCCACTTCCCAGATCAAAGTCACAGATTTTCACAGGTGACACCTGAGTGGACAAATGGAAGAAGAACACGTTTAAAACCGTCAGGTTTGTGCATAACTAATATATTTCTCCGCCCCTTACCCGATCAGTGTATTCACAGAGTATGTTCTCCAGCTTAAGGTCTCTATGAGCGATGCCTGGGCAAAAGAAAATGACATAAATTTTTATAATAGACAAAAGAAAACCTTCCTTCTCGTACTCTAGATTGTTGTTTGGAACTCAATCTACCCTTTGTGTGCAGAAAATCCAGAGCTTGTGCAATGTCCTTTACCACTCTACTGGCCTCCAGTTCATTAAAGTGCTTTCGGTTCTGGATGTGAGTAAGAATGGAGCCTGGAGGGGAAAAATAATGATCAGTAAAAACAAGAGATTATGAGCAGATGGGCCAACTGTAGCTGTAATCACTCGTGTTTACCTCCACGCAGCTTCTCAAACACCAGATAGAAGCAGGAGCCGTCTTCAAAGAACTGGACCAGCTCCAGAACGTTTCTGAGCAAATATATTTAGAGCTGATGAGAAAAGGTTCCACTTTGAGAGGTTTTGAGTAATATGATAAAATTAACTCACTTGTTTCCTTGGCACTGGTAAAGAGTCTCCACCTCTCGAAATACTCTACTGCGGCTGTGTCCTGCGGACTTTTCTATGATCTTTGAGAGAAAAAACAAAACACAGATGTTAGTGTAAAACATCAGGTTTTTTTATTAAAGAAAAAAAATACTTGACTCACTTTCACAGCATACTCCTGTCCGTTATGCAGACACACACATCCCTGAACTTTAGCATAAGCGCCCTGTCCAAGCACCTCATCTGTCAATTTGTAGAGATCTGAAACACAAATGTGAAATGAGACACCAGTGGGTGTTTCTGAACAACACTTGGCACCTTTTGTTAATATTTTTGAGTTCTCTGCTCCATTACCTTCAAAAGTGCCTGTGAAGCTGTCCGTTGCTCTGGTTCTTTTCTTCTTTTTTCTTTTAGTTAGATCTGGGATGTTCACTGGCTGGCTTGACTCGATCTCTGCAGCAGCATAGAAGCATCCACATGCGGAAGAGCTGGTTGTTACAAATGCTTGCTGGTGCATTCTACAGCACAAATGTGCAGAGCTGTAGGGCTGTTACGAATAATGCTGCTGGTGTACCTGCTGGGCCTTGCGAGAGGTGCTGCTCTTCCTCGCTGACCTTTCTGTTATCCTGATTTGCGCCACAGTGTTGCTCTGCTTGGCCCACGGCCAGGGGGTTACCCTGTAAACAGAGAGGTGGAAGCCACACAGGAGGGGGCAAAATGAGAAAGTGTGAGACATACGATTGGGATGATGATTATAATTCTCATGATTTGCCAGCAAAACTATCTCCCCACCACAACTAAAGCAGTTTGACAGGAAACATCCACACAGGTCTCATCTTGCCCTGGACTTTACTAGAAACATTTACATAACTACGGAGTGCACGACTCACGGTGAAGATAGATCAAACTTCCTGTTTCAGATCAGATAACCGGGACTACTTCTCACTGTGACTCATGGTGAAATCAGACATTAAAGGAGCAGATCAAACCTGGAGAGTATGTTGGAAGGGTTGCAATTCCGTCATCATGCCGTGCCACACCATACTTGCCAACTGAGAAGAACACACACACACACACACACACACACACACACACACACACACACACACACACACACACACACACAGAGCAGATGGCTTGGTTAGGTTGGGATTGTAATTACAGGCCAGTGTTCCTCAGAAAAGCGGAAGGAATTCAAGCAACGATAAACAAGCTCATCAGTCACATACAGGAGTTTCCCTCATTCCTACAAATGTCCGTTTCCACGTAATCAGGTCGATCAGTCTCGAGATATTAAAAAACCCAAAAGTTCAGTTAAATGCAGAAAACGTTCTAAATCATAACAACAAACATTCAGCCACACGATCAAACCCTAAAATCTGGGCCGTTCCAACGGCTCGGTGCACAACAATAGCAACTTTGCTACAGAAAACAATACACGTAAACGTTAGTAAGGCTAAAGCTAGCAGCTTTCATACCAACATTCTGTTATTGTCTTGAGCATTTAGGGCTAGCTAGCTAGCATGATCTGATGCTGACTTGTCATGATTAAAGTCGTTTATCTTGTCTGCGTTTTGACACCGAGTCACTGTAAAACAACACACGGAACCATATAGTCAAACCTGGGCTCCGCAGCAGCCGAATATCTTCTGTCAAAACCTCTGACAGCGGATGCAAGCTCCCATTGCTAACAGAGATCCATCAACCAGCCAGTGACGCACGAAGCGGGAAAACCATCAACTAACGCTAGCCCCGCCCTTTGATGTGCAATCTTACCATCCCATTGGTCTAGAAGAAATTAACGTGGCTTGCGTGCCTGACCAGTTGAACTCTTACCAAAACCACGCCTCTAAACCGGGTGAACGCAGATTAGCTGTGATTTATCAGACGTTCAGAAGAGCTGGTTTGGACCAAAGCTTGTTCCAGATGTCAGTCAATAACGTAATTGAGGGCTATTGAACTATTGAAGTCTAATTTTGTCTCTGTGAATGAGGTATAAGCTAGTATAAAGAACTTTAACTTTCACAGCATCACATGCAGGTAAATAAACACTGGTTTGCAGCAGAATCATTGGGAATGATTGGCTTCAAAACCAAAAGATTGGTCCAGCAATTGTCTACATAAAATATCTGTAATTAACATTACATTGATGCCGTTTTTTTCTGAGTTCTTCACACTATTCATGAATGTTAACTCCACACAAAGGCAACAGTGGCAGAGGAGTGGGTGCCTTCCCTGTTACTGGTTGTAGGTCAGAGAGCCCACGTCAGGCTGTCACAGTCAATTCAGTTCAATTCAATTCAAAGATACTTTATTAATCCCAGAGGGAAATTAGAGTTTCAGTACACACAATTCTGAGATCAGACATACATACATCGGCATAGACACATGACAAGAATTGGTGACTGTGGTCATTCGCAACCCGAGTCGCGCTACCTTAATAGAGATCAGAGGGGTTTATATAAGGATTGAGTCAGGTGGAGGAAAAAAGGCACTTCAGAGTTACCCTCCACAGGGAGGACAGCTTTGCTATGCAAAAAACTCCTCAGACAGAAATGCAACAGACTTCAGACATTACACAACATAAGTGTCCACTAGGTGGGGAGGTAGGGTAGAGGACTCTCCAAACATCAGTGTGTTGTCCTTGGGCAAGACACTTAACCTGCTTTGCCTGTTGGTGGATGTTGGAGGGTCCAGTGCAGCTTTGCCTCAGTGTGCCAAAAGGGCAACCAGGGCTACAATGTCATCACCATGGATTGGTAATTTGTAAAGTGCCTTGGGGAGCTGTAGAACTCTAGATGGAGCTATAACAACAGAGACTATTTAACAAATCAGCTCTTTGGGGTTTGTCCTCCATCACAGGGAGCAATGCTAAAATCAGGTCCATGCACCAGGACAATGGGATTTCTCTTCCTGCATGTTATTGGAGCAACTTTTGCATGACTGAGAAAATGTCTGGTGTCTCATTTATAAAGCTTGCTTACGCACAAAACGGAGTCGGAAAACTGCGTGAGCATCTTTCCACGCAAACTTTGGGATTTATAAAAGAAAACGTAGCAGAGAACTGTGCATAACTTTAAGTTGACTAAGGACTTGGTTAATGCACATGTTGGACATGGAGAGCACCTGCAGTGCTGCTGCAGAGAAGGATCAAATTATGAATTCCAGCAGCATTATCACTTGTACTGCTTAGTGCGCACACAGTTTTATAGGTCACAAACTTTCTTGCTGTAAGTACATTGTTTTGCTGAGCTTACGTACGGTTTTAGTAAGGATTCTACGCAATGTTTTATAAATGAGACCCCTGGTCTTTGCCACAAGTTTTTTTTAAACAATTAAATTAGGATGATTAATTACAGTTAACTCAGAGATTTTATCCAGGAAAAAAAACTTTCTCCAAGGATATTAAAGTAATTTTGATATACCCTGGTCTTTTAGTAGACAACTATAGAGAGACTGGCTCTCATCTGGCACACTCATCTCCACATATTAACTATACACCCCCATCTTTGTTTCAAGCAACATTCTGCCATTTCTCTCCTTAAGATTAGCATGTTTAACTAACTGCATGGCAATGACACGTTTTTAAGTAATTGAATGTTACCTCTAACAAAATGTTACATCCATAAGTGCAAATTTTCTAACAAGAAACAATTTTTTTCCTTTATTTGTTAAGGACTTGGAACTTTGCATAAAAACATTCACGAAATAAGGCTTTTTAAAAGAAAAACTATGCAGCACCTTTTTGCCTTTTATTGGATTCATCTTGATTTTTTGTTCTTCTCTTTGTCTCTTGTTATTGCTACGTAATTCAGGACTTCTGTAATATTTTTATTGGTAAAAGTCAACATTAGGAATAGAATCAATGGCAGACAATTGTGACGTATAATTTTACAACTGCTATTCATCATTACTTATTGCACAACATAAACGGTCTTGTCAAAGGTACATTCATCAGAATTTAAATAAGGATATTTAATGATAATCATAATATTAAACAAAATGTCTAATAATATTTCAAGGTTGAGAGTGTGAAATAAGATCAATATATCGAAAAATGTTTAAAACAATAAGCTAACCGTCTTAAGAATTAATAGATTGACTTGATAGCTATTCCTGACTTTCAAGATGACATTCTCTGCTGTCAAAATTAACATTTCAAATTTCCAGAAAATTTTCCAAATTTGCAGATCATTGCAGAAACATAAGTATTGCCCATAAAAAAATAAACATGAAATTTAGATTTTATTTGTGAAAGTTTTCAGTTAATGTGGTTTAAACAAAAATTCACATTGAGTTCTTAAAAATAATCCAAAATATTTTCTATAAACGAATTTATAGTTACTAGACAGTAATTGTATATAGTCTGAAAATGGTTTTACCTTGTGTTAAAGTACAGCCAATAACACACTGGATTCCCTCAATAACATGTGTACGCATTTTGATTTAGATTTTTATTTTTTTGGTTTATCCAGTGCTGTGATGGATTATGTTGAATTATTTTTCATTTTGATTTTAAAATAAAAAAATACTAAAAAATTGAATTAAAAACATTAGAAATATGAATCTCTGCTATTTCAAATATCCACATTATCTTTTCTAAGTAGAAAGGAGAAATCGGTGGACTTCTGGCGCAGAGATGTGTCATCTGTGAAAACACAAATAAAGTTTGAGATATTTGCATTGCTGATCATGAACATCAATCATGAACAATGTAATGAAAGCTACATTTAGGGGATAGCAGTAGCTCAGGAGGTAAAGAGGGTTGCCTCATGATCGGAGGGTCACAGGCCTGATCCCAGCTCCCGCCAGGGGTATTCTCCTGTTGTGTCCTTGGGCAAGACTTCACCCAACTTGCCTGTGTTGATGGTGGTCAGAGGGGCCAACGGTGCCAAATGGCAGCCTCACCTCTGTCAGACCGCCCCAGGGCGGCTGTGGCTACAAAGTAGCTTACCATCACTGGCAGTGTGTGAATGTGAGTGCATGAAAGCATCTTTAAGTGTCCTTAAAAACGCTATATAAGTTCCATGTATTATTATTATTTTTATTATTATTTCTTTCATTTTTTTGACAGGAAATACAATTCAGGTCAAGCCTCTGATTTCAAAATGTTGTGCTGTTAAAGCAGCTGGTGCAGAATAATGACATTTATTATCCTTTAGCGTCTGTGGTGCAGAGAATTTATAAAAACAGAAACAAACAGAGCTTAGACGAGACATCGTTAAGTTTGCCAAAAGTGCACATTTTTTATAGATTAGTTGATTAAAATACTGGCAGTGACTGCAGTCACATATGTACAGATCAAACACTCCCAATGGCAAGAAAAGAGCACAGGACATGTAGCTTTGTGGCATAAACAAACATTCACAGCACCATCATGAGCTGTGAACACACAGCATTGCTATCTGAAGAAAAGTGGTACACGTATGGATTTTGTCCATCATACATCACAAAACTCCCCTACATAGAAAACTGATCTTTGTCTGGAATGTTTTGGAGCTGCTTTTTTTCCTCAAAGGGCTCAGATTACGCCAGTGTCAACTCCTTCTGTCCACGTGGCTTTCTTCAAGTGCAAATCCTCTCTGTCATCTCTCTCTGCAGGAAAACCAAATGATGAGTTGAGTTGATACACTGAATCTACTTCTGTTGCACAGAAACAATAATGGAGTAGTTTTACTTTAAGTTGTGCTTTACACTTTTTGTTCCTCTAACACCACCAACAACAACACAGAGGCAGACGAATGAACAGGGAACAATAAAACTCATTATTTATGGTTTCTGAGTGTGCTGACACAAATCATCATCCCGGTTTCACACTACAAGATTTAGAGCTTCATAATAACGTTTTTTTTTTTTTCTGGAGCTTGGAGCTTTACATCTCATCTGCTCAGTGCTCAAATGTGACAAACAGCTTTTTGTTGGATAATAACAACAACCACAGAGTTTTACCTCATTAGACGAGCGCACAATTCAACTTCTTTTCTGACTAATTCTATATCTATAACATTAGATCATTATTTCTATCCTGACTAAAGACTCATGGGGACATACAACTATTAAATCTATTAGCAGTTTCATAATGGTCAAAAAGAAAATAGTTCCTATTAGGGATGACACTTAATGTCATTTTCAGGGTGGAAGCTGCAATTATTTTTGCATCATAAAATTTTACTCCATCTATCACGCAAACAGTGTTATAGACGATAACACCAGGAGATTTTGTTTCTGCTAGGTGGCATGTAATGACTGAACGGAATCACCCTCCAATGGCTGACATCCTATCTTGAAAACAGGAGGTTCTGTGTGTGGATGGGTGAAGCTTCTTCAGCTTGGGAAAGACTCAGATGGGGGTCCCTCAGGGCCTAGTCCTCGGCCCCCTTCTGTTTACACTCTACGTCTTGCTCCTGGGGGTCCTCCTTCAGTGACATGGTGTTAAGTTCCATTTCTATGCAGATGACTGCCAGATCTATTTGCCCCTTTCTCAGGGGGGCAGAAGGCTCTGTGTCTGCATTATTGGACTGTTTAATGGAAGGTAAATCATGGATGGCCTCTAATTTCCTCTTATTAAATGAATCCAAAATTTAGGTCATGTACTCAGTCCTGGTAAAAGAGCCAGAGCAGGTGGTGTGAGATTGATCTTGCTTTCTTGGCCCAGAGATGAAAGTGGTCATTAATTCAGGGGTGAAAATTGATGGACAAATAAACATGGTTGTCCGGGCATGTTTGTTTAATTTGGGGCGACCCATTTGGAAACAGTGGTATGTGCTTTTATCATGTCACGCCTTGACTACTGCATTGTATGCTGGACTGAGTCAGGCTGCAACTGCACGGCTCCAACCGGTTTAAAACTCTGCTGCCAGATTTGTGACTTGATTGAAAACCCATTTTTACTTGTTAGCTTTCCCTCAACACCATTGACACTGGTGACACTATTTTTATTCTCTTTTAGCTGTTATGATGTCTGACCACATTGACACTGGTGACACTATTTTTATTCTCTTTTAGCTGTTATGATGTCTGACCACATTGACACTGGTGACACTATTTTTATTCTCTTTTAGCTGTTATGATGTCTGACCATGTTGTCATATACTGTTCAGCGCTTTGGGCTTCCGTTAAAGAGCAAGTAACAATGAACTTTTTTTGCTGATAACCTGCATAAACTATTCATATTCTCTCTCCTTTTCCTTTCCTTATTATTTTTTATCACTATTTTATTTCTCATTTTAAACATATTTTAATAATTTGTTGAAATATTTTTTATACTTCAATTGTTTTTGTTTGTGAGGCGCTTCGTGATTCTTATCTTAAGAGGTGCTACAGAAAACTTTCTTTCTTTCTTTCTTTCTTTCTTTCTTTCTTTCTTTCTTTCTTTCTTTCTTTCTTTCTTTCTTTCTTTCTTTCTTTCTTTCTTTCTTTCTTTCTTTCTTTCTTTCTTTCTTTCTTTCTTTCTTTCTTTCTTTCTTTCTTTCTTTCTTTCTTTCTTTCTTTCTTTCTTTCTTTCTTTCTTTCTTTCTTTCTTTCTTTCTTTCTTTCTTTCTTTCTTTCTTTCTTTCTTTCTTTCTTTCTTTCTTTCTTTCTTTCTTTCTTTCTTTCTTTCTTTCTTTCTTTCTTTCTTTCTTTCTTTCTTGGAGAGTGTCCAATAGTGCTGTAGACGTGTAATCATCAGTGTTGGGAATGTTACTTTTAAAAAGTAATTAATTATAGTTACGGATTACTTTGTCCAAAAAGTAACTCCGTTACTTACTGAGTTACAAGATTATAAAAGTAACTAATTATCAAGAAAAATAACTATTTTGTTACTTATTTTTAATTAAAGAATGCAAGAAAAATTGTTTATTCTCTTAATTAAACTTACTTAATTTACTATAAATTACTACAATACTGAATATAAATGACGTTGGTCTGAGCGATGAACAGGTGAGCGGACCTTCGGGACTTCCCGCAGTCACGCCAAGAAGGGCACGGCTGCAAATTCACGACTGCAGCAGCGAATCTGCGGGTCTGCAGACGTTGACTATTCATCACGTCTTCCTCGTTCTTCATGGGCTGTGATGCGCTTGGATGAAAACATCGGCCTCTTTAGCTCCCAATAGGCTGAAGACAGCTTCTACACCCCGCGCTGCTGAATTAGTAACACACGCATTATCGTATCAGTAACGGAAACTGCGTTATGATAAAAGAAGACAGTAATTCATTAGATTACTCGTTACTGAAAAATCTATATTTTTTAGTAACACCGTTATTTTTAAAAGGGGTTATTCCCACCATTGGTAATCAGTACTTTTGGCATTTTAGTGCATCTTACTTTAAATTTAATATTTCAGCCTAAAACCATAATTATCTCCAGGCTAAAACTCTGCTCCACGTTCATTTAAAATCAGCCACAGCTCGCCGCTCGCCTATTTAAGAAAAACCCTTTTGTCTAATGAAGGAGGTGATCAGGAAACCTTCATTCCTTCAGTCAGTTTCTGTGTCTGCTCTTCTCTTGAGTGAGTCAAGTGAGTCTGCTTTTTGTGTGTGCTCATGTGCACGTGTTAACGACTCTTTTTTTCTGATGCATGTGGGTGGGTGGAGTTAAGGGGGGTGTTGCCAATCATTGCCTCAGTGCCGCTCTGTCGGTCCCCCAGGCACCGCATTTTTTTTCCTAGTATTTTTCTAACAAGAAGTCTGGTTGAAATAAGTCTCCACCCACGGTATAACTCACACTTAAAGGTGGTAGAAGGTGCAAAACAAATAATCGGATTGATTGATTGACCCTCATGTGTTTACCATGGTGCAGACAACTCACCAGGGGCTCAAGTTCAGAGTTATCAATGAGACTGAACTCTGTGATGAAGTAGTAGTAGTGTTTGTAGCAGGTATTGATGTGGGCCTCTGCACCCATGCTGCAGACGCTGTCAAAGTGATGGATGTAAACGTGCACGAAAACCCTGAAGAGGCGACTCAGGATTTTCTTGACCACCTGCTGGAAGTTCTTGGGGAAAGGTACGCCTAAAGTGGAAAAGTAAAGAATTGAGTTAGGGAACTTCTGCCAGAAGACCTGTTAGAGGGAAAGCCAGTCTCGTTATCTTTGTCTTTGTGCTACAGAAATGGCAACGGCATCAAGTATTTCTAGGTAATTGTGCAGTAATAAAAACTGCATGTCAAACATCATAAAACCAACTTTCATATTTAAGATAAGTGCTTTGGGTCTTGTTCTTGCCTAACCTCATGGAAAATAATTAGATCAAATACCAAATGAACAATGCTTGCTTTATAGACGATCATTTAGAAAAGTTGGAATTTTAGAGTTTTTAATTCTTCTGATCAACGTCTCCGCCTTGTTTAAAGGAATAAGCCAATAAAACCCATGTAAAATCAATGAGACAATGGGCCACAAGTACACACTGCTGTGTTCCACTCCCCTTAGGCAGAGAATCGTCCTCCCCATTAACATCAATTATAAAATCTGACATGCACCAAATATTAATGCCACTATTAACCAGGCTCATCTAAATGTCAACATCATTGTCTAATTAACCTTTTATTGAACCCAGTGATTGGATTTGAAAGCTTGGTGAAGGTGAGCAGCTTGGCTCTTCCTCTCTGAAGCAGAACACGTTATATATTTTCTTTAGTCAATAACATCAAAGATTGCTTAATAATTTGTAAACTCTTTACACACACCTATTCTGGTGGGGAAGATGTCCTCGTCATTAATGAGCGACTCGATCCAGTCCATCAGCAGAGTCATGTACTTGAGAGCGGGGAGCTTGGTGGGCTTCTTGTAGTCCTCTCCATCCTGCCATCTGTACTCGTACCTCAGTCCTCCAGACATAATGGGGCATGTGCGTTCGGTGCAGTACTCACTAACTGTGCCATAAATCAAGTTGATCCTGTTGAAGAAATCCACCACATGAACTGCAATCCAGTCGTTGAGGTTCTCGCCCTCTGGCAGCTGAACCACTTTCCTCAGGTCCAAACCCGACTTGAGCGAGGCCTGAGCCTTCTTGTAGAGTTCAAAGCGCTGTGTGCCGGGCTCAAACCGCTTCTTCGGCCTGAACGTTCTGGCTTTACTGAACACTTGACCGAGGCACAGCGCCATTGACTCGGTCGTTCCCCCTAGAATGAGGGGAGTGAAGGCTCTCCAGAGTAATGTTTGGCTTTGAGTTGGATAAAGTGGGTCCAGGCGAAATCAGGTCACAAGAGGTCAGAGTTGGTTATGGAGAGACGACAGGGAGTCCTTTAATCCAGATGTTTCTGTCAGGAGCAAAAACAGACATGTTAGGCTTTACCGTTTACCTGGTGGTCTATTATCTTTGTCAAAATTGTTATTGATAGGGTTCAATCCAGTAAAACATACTGATGCAATACATTATTAGGATATTTTGTTATAGACTTGTTTTTTTCTAAATATCAGCTTTCACAAAAAACATCTTTGTAAGAAACCACAACAGGACAAACAAGAATAACCATTACTGTCTCAATAGAGTTAAGTGACCAACATGACCTCATCAGGGGCTTTAAGTGTTTCATCCACAACCCAAAATAGCAACAATTTAACTGGAGCAACAGCTGGGCCCCAGGGAGTCAAGCCTGATTGAGAAAACAAATGCCACGCTGGGAGTCAGTAGACCAAACGACTCTCGGGAGCACAGACAGACATTCTCATCGTTCAGATTCAGCGTGGTGGCAGGATTTTAACTCCGTGTAAACACACTGAATGTGACAGCTAACGGAAAACGTTCTTTGGTGTATGGAAACTAAACCCACTGAAGCAATTACAGATTTTCTTCCGAAGCTATTAACCATCTGTTTGGTAATCTACAGCGACCGAGAGAGAAAAACCTCTCAAAAGTTCAGACTGTGTTTTTGCAGTGAGGAACTTTTCCTAAGGAGTTTATTTCAGGACTGAGTCACATTTTTCAGTTCAGTCTTTTGAACACACATGCCGCTGGCCCAAGTTTGACACACAGTCACTTCCAAGACTGTGGTTGCAATGTGAAACTATATTGGCGTTTGTGTCCTGATTCCCGTTTTGAACGGCGGTTCCGGCCATTTCCTGTTGTTTTATCTGAGACTACATGGTTCTAATGAGAAGTTTACCCTAACCCCTTTCTAGCATTTTTATACACATCAGGGACTAAACACTGAGGTTGAGATTTTGTTGTGAACTTAAATGATGAATCCTCACCCCAGAGGTGTAGTGCTTGTGTTTTGCGTCTGTTCTATTGAAGGAAAACTACAGTAAAAATTCACTGTGTGCTCGATTTCATTCATTTGATCATTCTTAATGTGCCAATTAAAAAAAACTGCTACTAAATCAGGAAAAGTTTGAGTTTCTGCCGAAAAGTCAGGGGGACATGTTTCTAGTGAAACTCAAAATTTGCATCAATACAATTTATTGGCAGCAAAAGTCACAGCAAGAGGACAAAAAGTCAGCGTGCCTCAACCGCCCCAGGCTCAGGCATGTCTAATCATGTGCTCAGAATAACAGACCCTTCATGCTTGCTTCACGGGTCCTCGTGAAATCTGCCAATGTTAGTTCAAGTGAGAATAGGAAATGATAAAATAGCTGATCACGTGTTCAAGATTCAGCTGCAACAAAAACAAAACAAGAAAGGAAAAAACTGCCTCTACAGTACCTCTGTGAGATCCTACGATGGATAGTTTGGAATGTTGTTTATGGAAGTTCTGGAAGGATTAAACTCCCATGTGGAGGTCAGCTCCAGCTGCTCTGCTCCTTTATTTGTCCTAAATCTTCTTTCAATGCTAGCCACTGGCAGTCCGATGGGCTCCAACCTCACAGCGGCACACACAACACAGAAAAGAACAGAAAAAGAAAGAAGTGTTTGGCTTCTCTTCCTGTAGATGATGTCACATCCTGACTTTGTGTGCTGGCCCTCGCTGTCTATGTGTGTGTGTGTGTGTGTGACCACATGTGGGTGTGTTTGTGGAGAACCTATAAATTTAAGGAAGAGAAGAGACAAAAAAGGGCCTTCCCAAACCCCGACTCTGCCCTTTCCCCCCTCTCCTTCTCTTCTTTTTTAGTAAGCAGAGCAGCCAGCCCACAGCTCCAGGCCCAACCCTCTGGTGAAAGTCCTGCATGGGAAAACAACTCCCTCTCTTGAGCAACACGTAGGACTGCCAGAGCGAAAGATACCACAGGCATTTCTGGATGTTTGACGGTCCGTATGGGCATTTTCTGCAATGTCTCAATAAGCCGTTATTAAATTCTTTGCTTTATGAAAGCTTTATGTAAACTGCTGAATTTACAGCTCAACCTTGGATAGAGAATGCATCAGAATCAGCATTTGGATCTATAAACAAGGAGCTTTTAACTGAAACCGTTTGTTCCTCTGTACCACGAGCCGGCAGCTCCTTGGATATCCACCTTTGTCAAGGAATGAATGAGCCACTGAAATGTAGAGGGTGTGTGTACAGTGAAAGCCAATATGAAACAAGCTTTTACAAGCTTTTCTTTCTAGAGTGTCCCCCCCCCCCACACACACACACACACACACACACCCACAAACACACACACCCACACACACATGTTTGAGTCTAAATCAGTGCAGGATGACATAACATTTCAGGTTTCAGTTAGCCGTTTCTACAGCAGGCACACAGAATGAGATCAAAACTGCCTGAACTGGTTGACACCCCCCTTCCTCCCCAGTCAGGTGTGGCAGGTGGTAACTCTTCTTGTTTGTTGGAGTTTCCCAAAGCGAGTTCTTCCTGGCTGGCTTCAGTTTGGCGCTTGCTTTGGGTATTTAAATAAAGGGAGATAGTTTTTGTAAGCAGATGCTTTCAAATTCAGTGTTTTGTAAAGCTTAACCTACTACGGGTCAAAAGAAGACGTTTCTTCCCAAATCGATGCTTCCTGTGTGCGATGCTGCCTTTTTGCTCAGAGAGGTAACCTCTCAGCCGGGGCAGCATAAAGTCCTTCAAACTGGATCAGAATGCAACTTTGGCTTGAGAAAGATTTTCCAAATATCCTACCTCTAGATGCAACCGGAAGCTCACACAGTTCCCTACCAGTGCTAGACACTTTATCCCTTTTTACATGTTTAAACAAAAAAAGCCCTTAACCGCTTTCAGTTGGTCCAGAACTCTGCAGCGAGGCTCCTAACTGGAGCAAACGGACGAGCTCACATCACTCCTATTTTACTGTCTCTTGCACTGGTTACCTGTTAACTTTAGAGTTCATTTTAGAATCCTGACTATAACTTTCACTGCTCTGCATGGCCAAGCTCCTTCCTGTATTCCTGAACTGTTAAAGCTTTATGCTCCAACCAGAGCCCTCAGGTCCACCCGCCAGAACCTTCTAGAAGTTCCAAAGACCAGATATAAAAGTCAAGGTGATCGCTCTTTCCAGACTGCATCCCGACTTTAGAATGATCTGCCTTTATCCTTATGGAGTATTGAAAGTCTGGACACATTTTAAACACAGCTGAGGACCCTTTTATTTAACGCTGTGTTTATCTTAATCTTTTGTGTTTTCGTCTTTTATAACTCACATTTATAATCATTTTTCGTTGGTTTTGTGATGTTTATGATTATTTTATAGTTTCGTGACTTTGCTTTTTTTTTTAATTAAAATTGATTTCTGTTTTGCTTTTTAAAAGCATTTTGATTTTATGACTTTATGATTTGTTTTGTTTTGTCGATCTCTGTGAAGCACTTTGTGTTTCTCTTTCTGTGATGAGTGCTGTATAACTAAAATTTGCTTACGTAAAGAACTCGTGTGAATTAATGCAGTGTTACTAGATGAAGATGTTGGATGTGAATCCTCATGGCTGCTTTCTCCATTTTCAGTTCAGCACTTTTAGGCATCTGCACTTTAAGTATTTCATGCACAGAAAAAGGGTCGTCAAGGAACGAACCAGGAAACTGCAAACTGATAATGAGATTATTGCTGAAGAGCAATTAGCAGAAAAGTTGATGTACAGCACACGATCATCAAGATGATGACATGTCTCCAAGATCCTGCATTATGTATTTTTTATTTCACTGTTTCTTAAAGACATAAAGACATTTTTAGAATTTGCTAACCTGCTGTTGGTTGATATTTACTGACACCTATAGTTTTTTTTTTACTTGTTCTTTTTCCTTATTTTAAGCAAAAACTGCAAAATGCTGTCATGATCAGATAAAAAAACTGGCATGAACATGACTGAAAAAGCATCCAAAGTCCAAGAAAAGAAATAAATCTAAAGATTGGAACAATTTTGATTAAGACAACTTAAAAACATCATCTTTTCACAATTTTTACATCAATTAAGAAACCTTAAATAATCTTTGTCACGTTCTCTGTGGTAGTTGCAGCAGAAAAGGGTGTAAAGGCACAGAATCAATGGCGTAGACCAGACAAAGGCTAGCATTTGCTTTATTAAAATGTTCTGTAGAGATTAAACTGACAGTAATTCTAAAATATGTGTGGGTGTATGTTATTGTTTCTTTATTAGTATTTTTCAGGCTGCAGAATATTTTACAAGTCAAAGGCTCTCTTTCTTTGCTTTGAGATGTTAAACTTTGAGCCTGTGATTCTGAGAATGTTGATGGAAATAAATTTAAGCTGCAGTAAAGCCATATTTCCACTAGAGGTCAACCTAACTGTTGTTTTCATGGACGGTATTTGAGTTGTTTTTTTATTTAGTTTTTTTTTTTATTACAAATGGATTGTTGTCAAATTTGATGACACCCAGTAGCTGGGGCTGTTAGAAAGCTGATAAGAGGAAACGCTTGTTCTTAGTGAGTGGTTGGTCAATGTAACATTTTGCTATTTAGTAATTCAAATGGTTTTATCAAAACCATTCTCCATCCACTAACATTTCTCCACTGAGGGACAACAAATTAAAAATCCTATTCTATTCTATTCTATTTCCATCCATTTTGGCCGCTTATCCAGGGTCGGGTCGCGGGGGCAGCAGTCTAAGCAGGGAGGCCCAGACCTCCCTCTGCCCATCCACTTGGACCAGTTCCTCTGAGAGAATCCTAAGGTGTTCCCTGGTCAGCCATATTCTCTCCAGCAGGTCCTGGATCTCCCGTTAGGCCTCCTCCCGGTTGGACGTGCCCAGAAAACTTCACCAGGAAAGCGTCCAGGAGGCATCCTTACCAGATGTTTGAGCCACCTCAACTGGCTCCTCTTGATGTGGAGGAGCAGAGGGTCTTCTCCGAGCCCCTCCTAGATAACCGAGCTTCTCACTCTATCTCTAAGGGAGAGCCGAGCCATCCTGCTGAGAAAACTCATTTTGACCGCTTGTACCCGCAATCTCATTCTTTCAGTCACTACCTAAAGTTTGTGACCACAGGTGAGGGTAGGAACAAAGCTCTCTCTTCACCACGACAGACCGGTACAACGCCCGCATCACTGATGACGCAGCACCAATCTGCCATCTCTTGCTCCATCTTTCCCTCACTCGTGAACAAGACCCCGAGTTACTCCTTAGGCAGGACCTCATCCCTGACCTGGAGAAGGCATTCTACCTTTTTCCGACTCAAGGCCATGGTCTCGGATTTAGAGAAGCTTATCCTCATCCCAGCTGCTAAACACTCGGCTGCAAACTGCTCCAATGAGAGCCGGTGATCACGTTCTGATGAAGCCAACAGGATCACATCATCTGCAAAAAGCAGAGACTCAATCCTTAGGCCACAGAAACAGGTCCTCTCAACACCTTGGCTGTGACTAGAAATCGTGGCCATAAAAGTTATGAACAGAATCTGTGCCAAAGGGCAGCCTTGGCGGAGCCCAACTCTCCGGAAACGAGCCCGACTTACTGCAATGCGGACCAAGCTCTGACACCGGTCATACAGGAACCTACAAGCTCATATCAGAGGGCCTGGTACCCCATACTCTTGAAGTACCCCCAGAGGGGGGGGGGGGGGTATTCTATTCTATTCTATTCTATTCTAAACCTGTGAAAAAATGTCTAAGAGGAATTGGTCAGGTCATACAGCTTTGATTCAATTGCATTAAAAAGGGCTAAAACAGGAATCTTTGTCTTGCACACACATTGTGTAATGTATATTTAGTTTATTTAGAATCCAAAAGATATTGAGTAATTTTTAATATGGAAAAATTTGTTTAGAAGATTCTTTTTAATCCGATATAAACATCTCAAAGAACATCCAGTAACTATGACTATAGTCTCTCCTGCAGGTCCTGCACGACTGCTGCAGAGGAGTTTAGTGCCTGCCACCTAACCGAAGGGTTGCAGGCTTACGCTATTGAATTCTTGCAAGTTGTTTCACCTACTATAAGTTCTTGAATTTTAAACATTTTTTCTTGATGATGCACAAGGGTGAGTGACAAAAATCCTTACTGGCGTCCTGTGCTCCAGTTGTCTGAACGTCTCTGTCATGACAAAATTAGACACAGGAAGAAGAAGAACCAGTCAAGCCTTTTGTTCCCATTTGACTGTCACGCACCAATGCACTTTGCTTTTATTTATCTAAAGCTATGCTGACTGATATTTAAAGCATCTTGTGTGGCAGTACAACTTCCATTATGACTTCTAAAAAAGGAAAAACAATTACTTAACTTAGACTTTATGTCTCAAATTGAGGTGAAATGTATTCTTGGTTTGTGACGATTATGTATATTTGGAAAGATAAGATTACCCTTTGTTTTGTCTTTTATAACTAGAAATAGATTATTGATTGTTGGGAGAAATGATCCTTTCTTGGATACCAGGAAGTAAGAAAAGTCAGTTTATTCATTGCAACTGAATAATTTATGTGCATACAAACAAAACAAATGATGAGCAAGTCAAGACTTCACTGCAATATTTCTCTTTAATTAATCCTGTCTCACCAGGATTTCAAATATATAAACGTCTGCACAGAGTTGAATGAGATTTAATTTTTTTTATTTCTAATGTTAGGAGCGATTTGGAGTCTAAGAATCAGCTTTGAGTAAATGAGAGCTCAAACTTGTAAACATGTGTGATTTTTACACCAAAGTAAAACTGTGGAGGAACATAAACACCAATAAAATGTTCTTTCAGGTTGTTAGAGTGACATTTTAGATTTAAAAAATGTGTCTGATTTAAAAATGTGTATTATCTTTATAGATAAGATATAATCAGTCTTCTTGATTATTTGTTTTTCCTTTTTCTGTATACTTTGAAAACGCAAACATTTCATTTGTGTTTATTCTTTATTTTGTGTAGTTACAAATAAAATGAAGCACGTTTATTTAAACAAAAATCTAAAACATTACTAAAGATAAGAAAACTAAGATAACCATTAATTGTGAGGACGTTTGAGGCTAAATGTGCCACCATAATCCGCTGGTTCACCAACCATCATATTACAGATATTATGTAAATAAAGCACGGACTGACTCAGCAGAGCAGAGGTGACTCCACCTCTCCCCGGCTCCATCAGAGGGCTGGGTCCGGAGGAAGATTTAAGCGGAAAGGAAGAGGAAGCCTGACACACACACACTCACACACACATACACACGCCGTTTGCTTACTTTATCAGCCAGGTTTCCAGAGGCAACGCGAGGGCTTCTCTCATCGCAGGTGGGTAGCTTCTTACACCGTGTTTTACAGCATCCAACAGCTGGATTAAACTGAGACTTTTGACTTTTGGGAGACTTTCATGTTCTTTCTCTTAAACGGGGGTGCTAGCTTACACAGCATTCTTTACTAAATAAACTAAACCGATAATTTATTAGAATTACAACAAAAAATAAACGACACCTGCTCTTTAATTTGTTACAACTAATTGTTACACATATGAAAAAGCCGTTTCAGCTGTAACCGTTAGCCCTGACTTCATATCCGGTGTTGTGCCAAAATGTGTATCTCGTCTGAACGTGAACTTGAAGGATACGTCTCAATTAGCTAGCACATTTACGCTAATTGTTTTGTACGTTGATGATATCGCGATAGCACCTGTGTTGTTGCGAACACCCTGGCTGTTCACTGAGGGTATTTTTATTGTTTGTAAACGTTCAAATTAAGAACTCTTACTTGGGCTGTGTGCAGAATGGGATCAGGCTACTTTTTGGTCAAATATTAATGGAAATTATGACTGTTTCCACTTGGATTACTTGTTAGTCAAGTAATATCATATATTAACAGCTTTTAGTAGATATTTTAAATGCCTTGTGACTGCATCTATATTTAAATTAAGAGGAAGGTTAAAATGAGCTCTGACCTCTACACGAAGCATTGTTAGTGAAGGGAAGTTGTGGCTGCTTCCTTTCTTTCTCTTTTACTGCATTAAATCATGCAGTTCATAGTTTTTGCTGACAGTTAAAGTTGTTGGGCGATGAATTAACCACACTAGGTTTTATAACTGGAAAAAAGTTTGAAACACCAGTTTACCAAATAATTTTAACTTAATTTAAGCTTGTTTATGGGTTGGCAACTTCAGAAAATAGTGTTCTGATTAGAGTATAAACATACTGTAGAGATAAATTATTGTAACGTTGCACAAGGAGAGAAAGATGTCCTTGATTGATTTATTTTTTTAAAGTGATTGCCAAGTTTGATTATGGACCGCTAAAAGGCTGTTGATGGTGAAAACAAAAGCTGCATCTAACAGCAAGGACATACCTATTCTGAAGGTTAAACAGCCCGGGTCTATCTCTGTTCATAATGTAAACACTGTGCTGGTGCTGAATATTATCTCTGCAGTGTCTGTGTCTGTTATCACTCCATCTGTCTCTTAAGTCAACATCCTTTCTGAAGAGTTTGCATATTCAAGAGGGAGCAGAGTGGACGATTAAGTTTAGATTGGTTCATTGTAATAATTTTCTCTGCTGGCTGGTCTTTGTATGTGTACTTCTGGAGTCATATTTCCCACGTTAACCCCACCCCCACCCCCCATGGTGATTTTGTGTTGTAAGGCACCTTGTAGATTTGAGAAGGTGGTGATACACATCAGATGGACCTGCTGCTACTTAATGTTCTTCCTGCCAACTGATGTAAATAATCAGGACTGAGGAATCACTGTCAAAAAGCCTGGTGTATGATTTCAGGTCAGTGATACACAAACAGATTACTCTGATCCTTTATGATTGTGTGACAAAAGTGTGTCCAGTGTTCACCAGAGTGTTTGAATTACATGTGTGCTTTCTTTATGATGGCTAGTTGGGAAAACATCTGGTCATTAATTAAAGCTCTGCTTTAAAACTTTTGTTAGCTTTGTAACTGAAGGCTTGAATAATTTCAAACTCAGCTGGGCAATCAGATGAATATTTCTCTCATTATTGATCTAAAATGGCCAAGAGCAAAGTTTTCAAGCTAAATGACAACTAAAGGTTTATGTTTATTCTAATGTGTTTGAAATTCAATTACAGCCCTTTGTGGTAGCTGTTTTTAAGCTGTTTTTACTTAGTTAAAGATTGGCTGATAGTTTACTCGGACATTCTTCTGTAAGAAAATGTCCTGAAGAAAGTGTCTGGAAGTGTCTGCTAGGCACTATCTGTCAGCTTTGAGCATTCACGTTGTTTTTAGAAGGTGCATATTTGTCCACACGTGGTTGCTGGATTGAACAGCTGGCTCATCTGTTTCTAGGGAATTGGACCAAAGGTTAAATTGTAAAAATGTTGTAATTTAAAAATGTAGCAATAGGTGGTTAATTTAGCTCACTCTTCCGGCTGTTACATCAACTTTTATTACAGAGAATCATTGTAGGAATCTTAACGGTTAAATTTTTTTTAGGTACGTCAGAATTATTTCCACGTGTGGGGATGCCGTTGACATACATGGAGACTGTCATTCCATCAATATATGACATAATCTCAACCAGTCCATCTGGTTGGTTTAAACTGGTTGCCCTTATCCTGAAGTTGTTTTTGGTTTTGCATGCTTTTCTCATTGAGCGCCTTTTAAACAAGCACACAATGCATCTGCTCATTGTTACTTCCCTTGCATGTTGATTCGTATTGTAATTCTCCATTCTGACGGTGTTAACGATATCGTGTTTCCCGCACCTGTTGAGTTGATGGGAGTTTGACAATTTCCATGAGACACTAATGTTTCTGAACATGTCTGAAATCGGAGTTGCTGGCATGCCAGAGCTGCAGGAGGGGAGGGAAGAGAATGAAGTTAGTGCTGCTAGTTAGGCCTTGTCTAAATAGTTGCAGATAGCAATGATGCACTCCCACCCACCCACCCACCTACACCACCACATGTCTGTCATTCACACACCCAGACTGGAACACAATAGGAAGGTATGAGCATGTTGCTCTTAAGGCAAGTTCATCAGCATTCCTATGCTCACAGACGGGGGTCGCTTCATTAAAATACCTGAAATTCCTTTATTTTTATTTTTTACCCATTTTTAAATTTACATTTTTATTTGAGCAAAGATCTGCTACTCATGCCTGAAAACAGTCATTTTCACAAAGCATGTCATATTAGGTTTTGAGTTGAATTGATCACACACTTGGAGAAGCAAATCCTGTAGAGTTTTTGATTCATATTCATGTTAAATGATGGTGCTTTTGGTTTGTTTTAAATAACTAATGGCTTTAGAAGGATTGAAGCTGCTTTTGTGATCAGTGTCAAACCTGGAAAATGTGACCAGACACAATCTTTTTCCCATCTTAGTGAGAGCACAATGAACTTTAGGGCTGATGGTTGTTCCTGATATATGATATAATATCTGAAGGTTTTTCAGAGAAACTAAATGGGTTTGTTTTTATTTTCAGAAACTAGTTTAATCTAGGTTTGTTAGTGAAGTAAACCCAATAGTGTCTGAAGATGCATCAGATTGGATACATTTTTCTTTTACATCACATTTTAATGTTTAGATATTAATATTTTAGGGAGTGTAGCAAAGTGTTTGGAAATGTCAAACCGATAGTAGTAAACTCCTCTTCTGGAAAATACGTCGTCTGTCCACAAGCTGGCTAGGTGTTGAATGTGTATTTTTGTTTAGTTTCAGTGTTTCTTGATGGCATGGCTGTAGAACAAGTTTGGTTGAGAATAAGATGCTTGATTTAGTGGGAGCGAAGTTTCAGACCACGTGTTCGTACATGCTCTGTGCAGGGAGAAGATGCACTGAATTCCTTTTACTGGTTTTTGCTGAGTGTGTGTAATGGCTGTCATGCAGTTTGTCCTCACTCTGTTCATGTTAAAGTAAAATGAGTCTGATATTAGTGCAGTGGGATCTTGCAGCAAAGTCAGACTTGTAACACAAATGTGTGGCATGTTGATGAAACGTTAGAAACATGGCTGCTGTTTACTTTAAACCAACTAGTTGGTAAATATTCAATAGTTTAACAAATTTTCATAAATATTTATCAGTATTTTATGTGAAAGTGGAATTTGGTTAAGTTGAAATGAAAGTCACAGGTTTGTGCTCAGTTATTATTGTAGTGAACTGATTTGCACGTTAAGCTGAGCCAATGTTTTGCCTTGGCACGTTGCCTACAAACGTAACAGGCAAGTCTGGAATGCTAATACTTTGGTCTATCCCTTTTGTTTTTTTTTGGGATGTTATTTTAAACAAAGTTAAAGATAGTTAAACCTAAAATGTGTCTAATCTTAAGTACCATATCAACATTTCTATTAGAGTTTGCCATTTGTTTTATGGATCTTTCAGCCTCTTGTTGACAATGATCTGAACAATAGTGGCTGTGGTGGTGATGATGATCGATGATGATCTCTTGAGTCAATCTTATCAGCCATCAGCAACTTAACCACCTTTTATAATTTGCCTAATAGGTGTTTCTTGTTCCTTCTGTGTTCATTTTGTCTTGCATTTCATTTTGGGCGGTGGAACGAGAGTTTGGTTTCACAGGTCAAAGTGAATTTTGGCAGCCTTACAGGAGACCATGCATGTCATTAGGTGTGTTTCGGTATTCAGAGGGAAGGGTTTAAAGCATACCTGTTGCCATCACGCCCCCCCCCCTCTTTGCTGCAGGTAGAACCTGCTTGGTCCTAAAGAGGGAAACTCGGGTTTTACAAGACTCGGCGTGTATGAGGTTAATTGACACGTTACAAATATTCAAGTTTAAATGTTGCATAACAGCCTGACAGCTGATGTCTGAACAGTTTCAGCCTTCTGAAACAGAATTTTAACAGAGTTGACACAGTCAGTTTGGACTTGGTTCTAAACAGAAATTTATTAGGTAAAAAATTCCAAAGATAGGATATCAACAATTCCAGAAAAACTCGCTTGGCTTGTTGACATTTAAAAACCTTTTGATTAACAAGCGCTCATCAGAATCTGCCCCATTTTAGTGTTTACAGTCAAATGGAAAGCAGCAGGTTAAGATGGATGGAGACATTCAAGCTTTCACAAAAAAACTTCTAACCAAGCCTGAAACACCTTTGCGTCACCTTATTATGTCATCGGTCAACATATATAAAAAAAGAGAACAATCTTTTATATAACGCCTCTCAAGATAAAAATCACAAACAAAAAATATTAAAAGTATTAAAAAGATTTAAAAAAATTATTAAGAATATGTTTAAAATAAGAAAAAATGTTGAATAAGCTGGATTTGTGGCTCACAGGTTTAACATTGTGATGACCTACAGTTTGTACGGCCAGCTAACCACTGGATTTAAAGTGTAAACAAACCAAAGTGATTATTTCCAAATAGAGCTGCCACAAACGACTATTTTAATAGTCGACGAATCGTGTCATAAATACAAGTATAGCTTATTGCACCAGGATGCTCTAATATACCCATCATTGCCTTCTAGTTTGAAGTGTGATCAGTTATTTGCCATCTAATGTAAACAAGATGATGGCTTATCAAACAACTTTTAATTAACTTTGTAACCTGTTAATTAGAGGCCAACCGATATATTAACTGCTTTCTATCATCAGCCATCGGCCGAGATTATTTTTAAAAGAAGATATAAAAAAATAAAAAATAAAAAATAATCAGGCACCTGTGTGATTGAAGAAAGGACCCAAATGACCCCAATACACTTTTATTTTTGTATTTATTTTTTATGTTTTGAGTTTGTTTTATATTTAAAGTTCAGTAAATATTAAGAGATTAATTGACTTAATTTATATTGTGCACAGTGAGTGTCTTTCATAATCCGTATGCTGCTAAAACGTGTATATATAAATATCGGCCTTAAAAACTGGCTTTAGATATTGGCCATCAACAACCAAATTCTTTTAAAAATCGGCATCGGCCTTAAAAAACCCTCTTTCATTGAAGAGGAGTGCTTTTTTAAAACACTATAAACTAGCGGAATAAGTCATTAACATTTGTAACAGAAAATACGTGACGTGCATACGTGGTCGAAAGAAAACAAAATCACTATCACTAATGTTGTTGCTACACCTATGAATACAAGTAACTCTCTGTTAGCAGCTAACAAGAGGTAATCAGCTTACAGAGGCAACTCTTCATTGCCCGCCATAACGTGCTTCCTTTTAAGGTGCTCGTGCATCCCCAACGTGCTCCCGTAAAGTAGAGTTCCACTTTGCAGATTTTGCACGTACATGCTTCTCTTTTGTCTTTGTAAAATACTCCCAAACTTTTCAGCTACGTTGCCGACTCGCCATGATGTCCTCTTTCTCTGGTGATTCGAAGGCTGACCTGGGTGGCCACTACTGCACATGTGCCTAAAGCAGAAAGCAGCCGCCGAAGGTGCCGCAGCAGGCGAGATTTTAAAAAATGCTCATAGAATAAACGACATTTTAAATTTAGCTGACCGTTTTGCTTGTCGACGTCCGTTTTGCTTGTCGATGTCATCGTGCCAAATCGACTAATCGTGCCAGCACCATTTCCAAGCATAAGGCCAGTGACTTCACAAACTGGGTTGATGGTTAGGACTGTTTTCCATGTTTTCAAAACAAAGTATTAAAGAGATGCCCGATCCTTTCCACTCTTTACTTTGTTTTGGTTCTGTGACAGCCATCATCGATGTAGGCCATGGCTAGCATGAATGGTAACTTGTGAATGGCCAGGGACAGCAAAATTATTAGAATTACTTTGTGAAAGATGGTAATAAATTGGAAAAAAATACATGTTTTTAAAAGTAAAATCATATCATTCCTTGTAAAATATTTACTTAGTTCCAAAATGTGCTGCAAACTTCCAACTAAGGTTTGCATTATGCAAAATGTCAACAATTTGAGGCTATGTTGAAGGCTACATGAATGTCTCTACATGCTTTGTTTATTTCATTCAGTGCCATGTTATGGTTATCAAGTGGAGACGATCCCTAAGGAGAGAATGTTCCAAGTTATTGCTGTAATTGTTAAAATGTTCCAGCCTGGCACAGTTGGGTGTGGCACTGAAATGTGAGTAAGTGGGTTTTCTATCAAACAAATACTGTTGCTTAACGCTTACGAATGTTAAGCATTATTTAATGAGTCATGTCTTTTCTCTAATGCAATCCGTCTTGTCTAAGCTTTCCCAACTACCTTGAGTAAATATTAGTTGTGTTGCCTCCTAGTTTCCATGCAGGATTTTTGAATGAGAGATTATACTTGGGTTCCGATGGATAAATTCAGAGTAGGGGAATGAGAGGAACTTTTAACTTGTAAAACCAGCTAAGGACTGGAATCTCAGTTGCCCAAGATGGGACCCAGATTTTTTTGTAGGTTGGAGCAAATCCTGGGACAACTATTTAACTCGAGGCACTACCTGACTTTCCTTTTAAAGAGAAATTGAAGCGTTATGGGTGTCGGCTGGGTAGAGGGCCAGGAAAGGCATAACAATGCCTTCCTTCATGATAACAGAGTCTCTACTGATGTCTTGCCCGCTCCCTGTGAATAATATGATCAGCCCACCCTGAGGGGAAAAAAAAACTTGCATAGCAACTCAGGAGTTGCAGGTTTCAGTGAGTAAAGGGTGTGACTTAGGAAGCGAGGACGGGAGTGATCCAAGGCTCATTGAAATCGGGGTGGTGGTCATGAACTAGTCCCGGTCTGCTTTGAGGTGGTTTTGGGGAGGTTTATAAGTGGGTTGTCTCTGTCCCTTTAACCCCATTTGACTTCATATGGATACACTCACACACAGCTTTCACACACCCCAAGTTTTTTTCCCTCTCTGGCTCTGCCCCTATCCTCTCTGCTCTGAGAGCTGGTTATTCATCCGCTGCATGAGTCAGGGAGGGTGGGGATTTGGAAGACTGCTGTACCAGTCACACTTTGTCTTCCTCTCCTTCTCCAGCTGTCTTTTTCTTTCTCTCTCTCTCCTGCTCTTTTCCGGCTTGCACTTATCGTCTACTGAGCGGCTTTGCTACACCGTGAAAGAAGATATTTGCTTCTGCTTTTGATGAACTAAGTGGCCGATTCTATTCTTTAAAAGGTGAGCTAAGTTGAGTTGGGGTGAAACCCTCTCCTTTGGGTTTAAGGTTTCTGTTCCTTTTGGTGTTTTAACTGTTCCTGGTGGGTTATATCTTATTTCAATCTACATTTACTACATTAATACAACTTCCTGGATGGTTCTTAATACTTTTTCCTCTTAACCTCTCTCTATTTCACTTTGTTCATCATTAACTTCTAACTCGTGAGTGTGGCCTCCTTTTTTCCATCCCTATAATTCATTGACATGAGTAAAACCAAGCCTCTCCTTTTGTAGACATAACCCAAACACTGTTGGCTTCATAATGAATGGCGTAGGCGTTGGAACATGCAGACTGAGTACAGAAGTGTATTTTTTCCTCCGAACCTAAACACAACTCTGGTTTAGTGTGTTTAAAATGAATTGGTTTCAGCTGTGCCTTCTTCCTCCCTGTTCCCTTTTCCTGAGGTGATTAAACGATCACGTGTCTGGAGTTCAATTGCATCACTGTGTCATGGGAGTACTGGACACTTTAGACTTGTCACGGTCATGAGAAAGTTGTTGTCCTGTGGAGTTACATGTACTGCTGATGTAGCTGAATGATGGAAAATGGTGCTGTTTATCAGTTTGCAGCATACCGCTAGACTAAGTCCTGGCGTTATGCGCCAACCTTTAATTAGTGGAGATTAGAAGCAGTTTGGTGTGATTATGTGAAATTACTGATGCTGTACAGTCATTTCAGAGTAGATGGTTGCTTGTGGCTTGGTCACTCTGGTTGGTTTGAGTTGGAATGGAAAGGGTCTCATGCTGAACTCCTGTTTCATCTGGGTCTCAAACTGGACTTCTCTTTATTTATTTATTTTTCTTGATGCGTGTTAAAAACTGTGTAAAGATTAACATGCTGCAGTTCACACATGAAATTTGCAGTATTTTAATCACTTAAATATCAAGTGTAAATAAGTGTTATATTTTTCTTTCTCACAAAAAACCAATAAGTCAATTCCCCTTGGTTCAAAATACACAATTATTAAATTGAACAACATGCTTAACAGCTGTGATTGATTATATTGGCTTGAAAATCTCAAAACCCAAAATTCAATTTACAGAATTACTGAGATTTTAAACAACTTGGTGCATTCAAGCACCCATTGAATTACTCAGGACACCATCAGCGACCAAAAGGTCAAGTTTTCAGTACAAATTACTAGCTAAAGGAAAAGTACCATACCAAGTAATAATCTGATAATGTAACTGCTGAGCACTCTTTATTTTCCAGAACAAGACACATTGGACAAGTGAAATGATGATATTGTTGTCAAATTGTGAGGCGGCTTCCCAAATGCCTCTGCAACAAATCAAAAACAACCACAGCTTTTTGCGTAAGAGTTTTGAAATGCCAGTGTTTCACGTTTGTTATGCAACAGCTGAATGTGCACGTTTGGCAGCATCCTCTCGAGCCTTTAAAGTACCAGCATTCCACTTTTCATCATCACAACTAGAGGAAGTTCATGAGTAGTCTGGCTGTCAGAAATCCCACTGGAATGCTACAAGTCCTCTAGAAGCTCAACAGGAAAGGTGGCGAGTTGCTGATAAAGTGGTGTGGTGAACAATAAGGGAAACGTTTACAAGCTGCTTTTGGTTGCCAGTTGGTGAAAACTATTTCCAATGCAGTTTCCCTCTTCATGGTTTCTTCGTGGGAATCCTGTGTTTTTTTTCTCCTTTTTGCAAGCTTTCCTCCTCTGTAACCTGCAGTAAACGGGTCTAGTTCAGTTCTTGTAAAATGCATAGTTAAGGTTAAATTTTAACTTTTTCTTCTACATTGTGTATTTTTCCCCTCCGTCCTGGTAAGTTCTGTTATCTCCTCTCTGAACTTCATTCCACAGTTTGAAATTATTAGCCTTTAATGATATTGTCTTAGGGAGGACCGTGGGCAGTGCTAACTCAATAGATTGGATTGTTCATACAAAGACTCCCTCAGAGCAGACCACACCCTGCTGGTCCTCTTCTTCTTTTTCAGTTTAATCTTGATATGATAAGCCTTTGTCAACAGAAGATTGCTAAGTCTAAAACCAATTCCACCATTCTTTTGTAAAGAGTGTGCAGTGCAACACTTGGCATCACATAAATGCTATCTCCAGATTTGTGGTTGGTCTGCTGGTTTTCTGTGGGAGTTTTCCACCAATCAGGTTGATACATTACAAGCAGCGCTTGTTAAAAGACTTGTAATTATTGTGAAAGTGTTGCACTTTTAACTTTATGCACCTCCACCCATGTGTTAGGGGGCAGTAGAGTTTGGAAATTGTCTTGGAGCTTTTGGACTCTAGTGATGCGCTTGCTGGGGTGTAGCTCTGCCTCTCTGATATCAAGCCATGTCATGAGGGTTGGACTTGGGGCAAAACTTTTTTTTTTTTTTGGTTTAATTGAAATCCCCAATATATCAGATTAACTCAGTTTGGAGGACTGATGGAAACTCTTCTCTGGACTTGAGTGGGATTTTAAAACTGGACGCATTGCCTCTGTGAGTGCCGACGAGCTGAAACTAAACTAACTCTTGGCTTATCCCCTCACCCCACCCCACAGATAATCTGGTCATACCAATTCACAACAGCCAGTATGTTTCAGCACATCCAGGAGTTTGGCTCAAATGTCATGAAGACCTTCGATGAACTTGTGGCAGGAATTGGTAGGTGATTTACTCGACAAACTGCAAAGTGATGACTTTTTTGTCTATGCATGTGTGTATTAAAAAGTCTCCATTTCAGATCCACGGATTAAGGATTACCCGCTGATGCAGAGTCCTGTTCCAATGACTGGGATACTGCTGTGCTACCTGTTTTTCATAATGTACCTTGGACCTCGCATAATGGCCAAGCGGTCACCCTTCCAGCTCAAAGAAGCCATGATCATTTACAACTTTCTGCTGGTGGCATTGTCAATATTTATTGTCTATGAGGTTAGAATCTGATTCTAAAAACTGGCTTGGTGCTCTTTAGCTTTTATTAATGCTGAATTCTAGGGATGCTCCGATGGATCAGCATTTGATCCCATTTGATCCCAATCGGCCGATAGCGCCCCTATCGGTTCTGATCGGAGTTTTCAAAATAGATCAAAGCAGACCGATCAGGTAGGGTTGTCACGGTAACCAGTGTAGCGGTAAACCCCGGTAAAAAAAAAAAAGTTGACAATAATAATAACCGTCTTGTTTTTTAAAAAAAAATTATCTCTGTGGGTTTACCGTGGCTGCAGTGTAGGCGCGGTGACCCTTACCAGCCACCGTATCGTCTGCTGAAGTTGCTGGCGGCACATGCGCGCTTTGTTTACAACCAAAACTTTCTTGAAGCTAAAGCTGAAATAATAGCCAAAGGAGGAGACGGCAGCGCTCAGGACATTTATTATCCCTCAAAGAAGACAAAGTGGGAAGTACGGGCATCTTTTGGATATTTGAAGAATGCCGAGGGACAGTTGATAGAAGATGGCTATCCTGTTTGCAGCACGTGCAGAAAAAGAGTCTGTGAAAGGCAGCAACGCTTCAAATCTCATGACACATCTGCGTGACCATCACCCACAACTCTACAGTCAACGCAAGGCAAGCTAACGTTAGCGTTTTAGCTAAAATGCGTGATCCGAGGATTTGGGTTGAGGTAGAATGCAACGAGTCGCTATATAAAGCAGCCGCAGCGCCGCTACCTGCATATAAACCGTGTCGCGGACACCCCCATGTTGAAATGACGCTATGTATTACGGGGCTCCCAGGGGCAGATAAGAGTTGGTCTCTCTCCGAGAATAATTATGAATTTAACAATGATTACTGCCTGATGACATTTTCCCACATCTGCAAAGCTCACTGGAAGGACACAAACAGAGGACAATATTTTCCTGATATAGGGTTTATTACTCAAGTAAGGGTAAAAAAGTATCTGATTAGAAGGCTACTTGAGTACTGAGTATCATCTGCTCTAATATTTTTAAATGATGACATCAAACAGACATAAAACAAGAAGTTATGGGCAAATATTGGTATTTTAAAGACTGAAGGGAAAAATGTAAACAAACAACATAATTACAAAATAACACATTTTAGGCAAAATTTTGACACAAACTGAGGACAATATTTCCTGACATACAGGGTTTATTTAATTGTGTGAAAATGTAGCACGTTTAAAAAAAATACGGTGATGATACCGAAAACCGTGGTAATTTTGGTCACAATAACCGTGAGGTTAAATTTTCACACCGTGACAACCCTAATACAGACTATTTTAGATTGGGTTAAATTTCCTTTATTCCCAGATTATGTAGTTTGTAGCACTCATTATAATGTTGTAGAAAATTTCTGGCCAATCCACGTGATCGGTATCGGTGATTAGCATTCTTTGATATCGGTATCGGCAGCAAAAAACCTGATCGGTGCATCCCTACTGAATTCTTATGTTAACCAGACAAGTTTATGGATAAAAGTGTAGCATTGTAGTTGGTTCTTCTACAGGTGATTTTAATTCTAAAGTTTTCTCCCAATTCAGTTTCTGATGTCTGGCTGGGTCACAACGTACACCTGGAGATGTGACGCAATTGACACTTCTAACAGTCCCCAAGCTCTACGAGTGAGTTTTCCAAACTTTGGTTCTTGTAATGAGTATAACTACATTTTTAGACTTTCTTGGAAAATAGTCTAAATTGTACCTTCTTGTCATTAGATGGTCAGAGTGGCATGGCTCTTCTGGTTTTCAAAGATCATTGAGTTGATGGACACAGTAAGTCTAGTGCATTTCACCTAATGTCTGAGTTTGAGTCTGTTAAGGATCAGGTGTCTAGACTTGATGTTAACGAATCTGTTTTCTTTGTCAGATTTTCTTTGTGTTGAGGAAAAAACACAGCCAGATTACGTTCTTGCACATTTTCCATCACTCCTTCATGCCCTGGACCTGGTGGTGGGGAGTTGGCTACGCTCCCGGTAAGTACACAACGACCTGGTTTGAAAATGATTAATGGAGAGACAAAAGCCAACCAGGGGATGAGGTTTGGTTATTTCTCCCTACATACCATTCTTGCACAGACCAGTACAAGCAGCTCTGAATGAGCTGTGACCTTATTAAGTGGCCTAAAAAAACATAATCTGCATCATTTTATGCGTGATAGTCACACCAAAATGATAAACTTGGACTCTTGTGCTGCCCTTGTCTTGATTTTAGTCGCAAGGTCTGATAATTTAGGCGTCAGGCGTTAGTCTCTTGATGTTTTGCTTTTTGCTCAAGGTGGAATGGGATCTTTCCATGCCATGGTGAACTGCTCCGTCCACGTCATCATGTATTTCTACTACGGTCTTTCTGCTGCTGGTCCTCGCTTCCAGAAGTATTTGTGGTGGAAGAAATACATGACTGCCATTCAGCTGGTGAGGAAATGTGTCTCTCACAGGATTTTATTGTTTTATCAACATTTTTTTCTCTTCATTAGTGACTCCTGACTTCTTTCCCAATAGATCCAGTTTGTCCTGGTGTCTCTCCACGCCACCCAGTATTACTTCATGGAAAGCTGCAACTACCAGTTCCCCATAATCATTCACCTGGTCTGGATCTACGGAACCTTGTTCTTCATCCTCTTCTCCAACTTCTGGGTCCAGGCTTACGTGAAGGGCAAGCGGCTGCCAAAACAAGACATTAAGTCACATCAGAACGGCTCAGCCGTCTACACCAATGGTAAGCACCTCGAAAACGGAAAAGTCCACGAAAATGGCAAATGCTACGAAAATGGCACGAGCAACGGCATCATCAACGGAAGCACCAATGGCATGAGCAACGGCTCAGCTTACTATGAAAATGGACACACCCTTAATGGCAAGATGAAGAAGGCTTAGAGACTCTAGAGGGAAGCAACCTAGTCAACCTGTTAAAATTACTACAAATTCCAAAGATTATTAGACCGTTTTACAGCTTTTTAGTTTCTTGTGTAAAACATGGAAGAGCGATGTCGTGTCTATGACTTCCATAACTGGGGTTCCACATTTGGTTTGTTGGTTTTGTTGCGTGGGGAGCCATCTATGAAACACAATGTATGAAGAGAAGATGTCTTCACCTAATTAAGTCTTCACTGATCTTTGCAAGGAACCTTTTGTAGTTCACTATGACATCGGTGGCCTTTCAGCCCATTTGCTGGCCTAATTGACCCCTCTGTGGACAGACGACTTTACTGTTTCTAGTAAACTTGAAAAAATAAAATGTAAATAGTTTTACAGTAAGAAAAAAAAAGAAACTAATTGTGCTTTCTAAATTTTGTTACTTTGTGTATTTAAAATTTAATAGCAAATAAATTTTGTTTTAAATTATCTTTTACATTTTAGTTAGTTTTTTTCTGTACGGGGACTCGCTGAAAGTGTTTATTCAGATGCCATTTCTCATTTTGCATTGTGCAGCTGCAACAAGAGACGAAACAATTTGCTATGTTTGCACATGTCTCTTGTCTTGACTATCCCAAATATGCAGCTTTAGTGGGAGGCGGACAAGGAGCCCATTATGCTTTCACTTTGTGGCACGAGGCAGAAGGAACGCGTTCTGCAGAATGGAATTTGCCTCCACCCAGCTCCACATGAGTTTATGTTCACTAAACTCAAAGGAAATGGTTTTATGTCTAGCTTTGGGTAAATAAGTCAATAAAAATGGAAAAAACACAGCATTACCAAGACTAAATATACCCCGATAGTCATCATTAACATCAAAAACTTTGTCTCCTGTGTATAAACCTGTTGTCTGTTTACATCTGGCCCTCCATCCAAACAGGCAAAATCTCTTCAGCTGTAAGGCCGTCACAGGATTTTTCCTCCCGAGGACCGCCAGCTGCCTTTTTAATATTTACACTTATAAAACAACTTTCCCTTGGCAGTGTGCTAACGCACCTTTCCAGACCAACACACTATCACTTCTGCTTTTTAGAAATTCTCACATTTATTGATCACTTATTCATTAAATTAGATTTGTAGCATCTGGTTGCTGATTTTTCTCCACTCCACTGGAACCAGTTATTTTTCCAATAGTTCCTCTGCATACTGGCTCAGCTTTTGATTAATATAGATGTAGAGTAAGGTGTCATGCATTGTTCAATATTATATTTCACAAGAATCATGCTATGCAGATGTATAATAATTTTATGTGAATATACAATAATGCCACAAATGGGATTGAGTTCAAAAGCATTTAAAAGCCTTCAGATTTTTGGCAGCAGTGTGTTTAAGCATTCAGAGCCACATAAGACTATACATTTTTTTGTGTGCCTTGTCTAAATAAATTGGGGTTAATAAAACACTTAGAGCAAAGTTATCTAAAACAAATTTTAAAAGTAATTTCATCTTGATTAATGGTGAGTATAAAGTGACAAATAATAGATGGTCCTCCTGGGCTTGTGAACACACGATGTAATGTAGAACTTGGAATAAGTCAAATATAAGAGGCAACACAGATGATTGGTTCATTATTGCAGATTTAATTCCAAGCAGACAATTGTTTCATGAGCAGTCGAATAAAACGCGTCCGGTATGAAAACCTTCATTAAGCATCCATTCAAGTGTAAAATTGCTACGTATCTATTAAAGTTCTTAAATACACTGTTTTTCTCTTTGCGTAAAGGTCAAAGGGCTGAATCCAGCTTGTGTTTTAAAGTATTTTCCCGTTGGCGTACATGTGCTGGGCACTGACGTGATGAATGAAAACAAGCTATGGATATTCTTCAGCTCAGGAGCTGCAGCCGGATTTGACGGGCCGTCATTGGTTCATGCGCTGCTGCAGTGTCTGCAGCTGCTGGGTGGAGTGAAGTCGGAGAGCAGTCGTTTGTCACGTTGTGCGTGGAGGATGCAGACTTTAGATCAGATCCAGGTTTTGGTCTTGGAAATCTTCTCATGGAATCTGATGGCTGTGTTGAAGACAGGGCCGTGGTCGGAGCGGTGGGGAACTTGCGGGATGTGAATTTGCTCTAAGTAATATTTTCTAGGATGTAAAATATGAGCTCCATCACAACAGGCTCTTCGCCCCTCTTGCGGCCCCTGCTGTGGATGACTGGGATCAGGACGCTATCCAGGGCATTAAGGTACTGAGCTGGAAGAGGCTGCCCATTGCTACCAGCCACAAATCCCACCTAGGAGTTCCAGAATAAACCACTGATGAGTTTTATACCATTGCACACACACAGAAGTAACAGTTCCTTAGAAGCACAGACGTATCACAAAAAGTTAGTTCCACCTAAAGATGTTCTGAGCTCTGAGGAAATTTTTTTTAAATTCTAAAATACATTTTAGTGCCTCAGAGTTTAGAGATAGCACACATCTGTTTCTGCACAGAACTGAACTCTGACAAATGTCTAATAAAATAAACCTGGCATCTTGTGTTTACAATGCTTTCACAGCAGCCCTATATCATGCAAAATCCACCTTTTGACAGTGTTTTATTGAAAAACACCCTCAAAGTGGTTTTTGGCTTTGTGCATGCACTTTGATGTTTCAGCTGTAATTCCTAGCTGATCTGCCCAGCATCTGCAGAAGACAGAGTTTATCCACATCCCTCCTCCCCAGGACTGTAAACTCTAACACTAAGACCCTGTCAGTGTGCCCCAGGGCAGCTGTGGCTACAATGTAGCTCATCACCACCAGGGTGTGAATGGGTGATTGTGTTGTAAAGCGCCTTGGGGGGTTCTGGGAATTAAGAAGGCGCTATATCAAATGCAGGCCACAGTCTCTGTGTAGTGAGCAGGGAGTTAAATTTACACAGTTGTGAAGAAGAGATTTCATTCTTTTCTAGTCTGCACTTTAAGAATGGATTGAGTCCAAAAACTGAATTTTGTTGAGAGAACAGTATTGCTGTCCAGTCTTCCTGAAGAAGAGTAGCATAATAGTTTGGGTCTGCAACAAGTGTGAGTCTGCGGTCTCTGGGTCTGCAGCCGGTGGAGGGCTTATTTCCAGGTTGAAGTAATGGGTCATGAAAATAAATTGAATAAAAAATGACCCAGTAGTGCTAACTGTAATATCTTGTCATATAATTTGCCTATAGTTTCTCTGGAAGGTGTCAAATGGCATAGTGAAAATGGTTTCTGACCTCCTGAGTCTCAAAAGTGACACGCAGCCCCAGTTTGGCCATCCCGTCCTCCTTCAGGAGCTTCAGGTGGGGACAAAGGGCCAAACAAAACGCCCGGGCGATCCGTTCTGTCAGCCGGTTGTGTTCAGCAGTGTCGGTCACGCCACCATTGGGATTTTGGCCTCTTGGCAGAAAGAACACCTGCAGGAAAAAAGGAGTGTTAAATGTAAATAAGGGATGGTTGCTCATGGAGTCTTTTCTAAGATGATAGCTGTTGCCAAACATCTTACGAACTTCTGTCCAGCGGATTATCTTCCCATTTTCTTTGTATTCTGACTTCTGAAACATCTTCTTACTTCTGACAGACTCCATGGATCTCCCATCAACGGGGCTAATGACCCTGGAGAGCACAATAATGATTCAAGTTTTTTACAGTGGATTGAATTGTTTTTTTTTCCTCCTTTTCAAAATCTCAATTTTTGATCCCCTAATTTTTCCATCATCCAGTCAAAACCCACAAGTAGTGCCTTATTTGTAGTAACTCTCCTTTTCCAGGCTGTTAGACGTAACTTAGCACCAAACAGGTGAACACACTCACCCCTTATTCACAGTGCACTTCTCCTCCACCCACTGCAAACAAACAAGCTCCTGGCCCTCTGATTGGTCAAGCCGCCCGCATGTGACGGTGTAGTCTTTCATCTCCCGGAGCGACCGGCGGATCTCCGCCATGGTTTCCACGGTGACCTGCACCATAAGCCCATCTAAGGAGAGGGGGGGACAGCAATACAAGAGGAACACACAAACACACACTCACAGGGCATCAACATATACACACTCCCTGACAAACGGTCTGTTACGGACACACACACACAAAGATCAGCATGTTCTGCTCAAACCAGTTTTGAGGCAGGGATGCTTGATGATGCATTTTTTTTCTCATACAAATGTAAACAGTAACTTCTTCCCAGCAGGTAAAAGTGAAAACCGATCTGCCTTTCTGTGTAAGATGTCCTACCTTCTACGATGCTGGACTTGGCCAGGTATCCTGCAGATGCTTTCAGGGCACTGCTGAAGATGAAAAAGCATGACCCAGTGACTGAACAGAAGGAGCAAAAAAAAAAAAAATAATTATGTTCAGAAAATAAGTACTACGACTCCTAGTGGTGTAAATGTGAAAGTACAACACTAGTCTTCCTCAAGAATCAACAAAATCTTCATCAGTGTGACATTCCAAAGTTCTTAAGAGGTGTTTAAAGAGCAAGTCAACCCCTACCAGACTAACTCCACTCCCACTTCATGTTTGGAAAAATGCAACACATGCAACACTCAGGCTCACGACAGCATTGTGACATGTACCAGTTTACATCATAGCATACTTCTTAGCCAATAGCGGTGGCAGATTTAAATTAAAATACAGTGCAGAGTTTTTACCTGACAACAGCACAACACTGCCAGTTTTAGGCAGAATATTTAAATTTTAACTAAGATGCACTGAAGTGCCAAATTATTGACGACACGTGTCTGCAGCACGATTAGACACTCGTTTATTTAGTTTATCAGCAAAAAAAAGTTTATTTGGGGGGTGACTTGCTCTTTAATATCTTTAGTTAACTAAGACTAAAGATCATCTGCAATTAGTCTGAAAATGTTTCTGCTCCAAATTATTGGTGTGCCATTTAAAAGTCAAATAGTTTATGTACTTTTTATTTTGCAAAATGACTGCATTTGACATTTATTATATAGAAATGTTAGTATAATATATTACCGGTAAATCAAACTCATTACTAAGTCTGTGTGTTTTATTAACTTTATTATCCCAAACAGGGCAGCAGCGGTAGCTCAGGAGAAAGAGCAGGTTGTCCAGTAATCAGAAGGTTTTAGGTTTGATCCTAGCTCTCTCCAGAGAATGCTGCTGTTGTGTCTTTGGGCAAGACACTTAACCCGCCTTGCCTGCTGGTGGTGGTCGGAGGGACTGGTGGCGCCAGTGCTCGGCAGCCTCGCTTCAGTGTGCCCCAGGGCAGCTGTGTCTACACCGTGTCTCGTCATCACCAGTGTGTGAATGTGTGTGAGTGCGATGACTGATTGTGTGGTGAAGTGCCTTGGGGGGTTTGTAGAACCTTAAGGTGTTATACAAACAAAGGCCATTTACCCTTTAGTTAAAGCTGCATTAGCAAATTTGGAACAAACTAGCTTAAAACGTTATTTTTCATGCCTCTTAACAGCATTCTAACATAGTATAGTTTATAAATATAGCGGAGATTAAATTTTTTTTGTGGTTTTCCTGTATATGTCTAAAAACTTCTACCATCCAGGTGCCCGTCTGGCTGAACCGCGACATTTCTGCATTTTTCTGAGTCTTCCATTCACTACACACTTGCGTATTTAGCAACAGAACACCACTGGTGTGAGAGTTACACCATGACTCATGGCTCAATAAAATCAGAAAAGGAGAAACAGACGGCTGCTACCACTTCAACTTTAGTCCCAAAAAGAAAAACACCATTTGAATTTATGGACAACAAAAGACATTTGGACCTAGAAAACGACAACCGGTGTTTAGCACCATATTGTTTCCTCTGGCATCACGGGTCTACGGTTTCAGCAGAAAAAGTCAAGTTTAAAGTCCCATTAGTTCTCACACACACACACACACACACACACACACACACACACACACACACACACACACACACACACACACACACACTTGTGTGGTGAAATATTTTCTCCGCATTCGATCCGCCCCCTGAGGGAGCAGTCTCAGGGAAGATACTCGAGGGGAGGGGTGAGTGTTCCGCGACCGTGTTTACATTCAAAACTGTAGATTCGCTAAAGCAGCTTTAAGATAATGGAAGCAAACTTGCTTCCACCATCAGAAAGCTTTTCAGTTTAATGAAATAATTTCCAATAATGATAACTTGATCTGTGTTTACCCCAAGCATCTATGAAGTCGGTTGTGAAATTTAGTCAAACTTGGAAATCATTTAAACCTTTGAGTTGTTAAATCACTTGTTTCTGGAGGTAACAGCAAACTTTACAGGGGTGAATAAAAGCCTTATGCATCTTCTAGTACCTCAGATGAAAAAAATACCTAAAACTAGTAGACTTTTTCATAAAGTGATGATTATTACGACTGACAGGTTGTCTGCCACGGTGTGGCGTGACTTTACCTTTACGTGGCTGGTTGTGAATGCTGATAGCTTGGGTTTGGTACTGGCCATCCTCAGTTTGCACACAGATCAGGTGGGAGTCTGCACTCTCATTGAAAGATGCTCCTATAGCCAGCACATGCTCATTGGACTTATTCATAGCCTTCATAAACTAACACAAGACAAGTGGACAGAAAAGAAGAAATGACATCTGAGGGGAAACCACATCTGAATTTACCCTGGAGCTCAGTCATTATACCTCATTATACCCAGAGGTCGGTATCTTTATGCAGGTCCTCTGAGCTTCTAGATCCACAGTGAGCCCGGGCACCATTGGTAGGCTGTAACGGTAATTTCTAAAGTCCTAAAAAACAGGATGTGTGCAGAAGTCAAAATGGGCTGTGGGAAGTCTGTTAGAGATTATGACACCAAACTTCCCCCTGATGCTGGTAAACTCAGTTTTGTAAAAGATGAAGGCTGTTGCATCACACACTTACCACTAACAATCTCATTATGGTGTGACCTATTTCCCCAAACAAGGGCTTCCTGAACCGTACGCTGTACAGTGGGCACGGGTAAACTGGACAAAAAGAAAAAGCAAATGACTTGAATGAAAATTGGAGCTACCACAGGTGTCAGGACATCAGAGCCACTTGTCTCACATCTGTACTCGGCCCCCAGCCGCAGCATGAGGCGTAGGGGGAAAGCTTTGGCCCAGGCCACTTCCGCTCTGTTGACCAGCAGGCCAAAGAGGTAAGGCTGGTTCGGCAGAGGTAGACCTTGTAGGGACTGGAGAGTGGAGCGTACGTACATGAAGCCTGCGTGCTCCCGACCGCCCAGGAATCTACCGCCAAACGGGAAGAGTGACAGATGTTTCACAACCCTCCCTACAGAAACAGAAATCAACAGTTGAATAAGGAGGATGAGGTGCAAATTGAGTGGCAGGCACTAATCAACACAGTAGGAGGTTAATAAATGTCTCAAAGCTCCAAACCTGCTAGGCAGTCCCTGTACAGTTGGATGAAGTGACTAAAAATGTCTTTGGGGAAACTTTTTTCCTCAGGCAGACACTGGAGCAGCACCACCGCCTCCACCTGACCCACAGCATGCATTCCCTTAGTTGTCACACACCAGCACTTCCTGTTTACATCTGACAAAATCAAGAGAGAGCATCAGTGTTCTGCAAGGACATTTTGTTTAAAGCTGTATGACTGGCAAAATGCATAAGTGCTTTCTGGGAATAAACAAGCTCGGTTCTTTTTGTGCACGTTGCACATAACTACCAAAGGACACAGTACATACAGTTGACTAGGTTGACCATAGCAAGCAGGTTCGCATTGAGAACAAACACCACCGGCTTGGACCTGCCGCTTTCCAGCTCCTGAATGAGTAGCATCTCAGAGGGCTTCTCCTCTACAGTGTAATCTGAGGAAGAAAAGCAGAATTACATACCTGTCGGATTATTATAACACTGTTTGGAAAAAAACCTATCCAAACTAACTCGTGCCTGTGTGAAAAAGTAATTGACACCCTTGTACAATTGTGAACTAACAGATGTGTGATAAACCACATTATGGAAAGCTGAGTTCATGTTCCACAGTCAAGCATAGGCCAGATTACTGCCGGACCTTCAATAGAACCTGTCTGATGACACGAAGCAGGCTAAAAGTTCTCAAAAAGCAAAAAATTATCCCATTTTAAATAAATAAATTAAATAAAAAACAAATCCAGAACCACTGTTTAAAGGCCTTCTTGGCTGAAATCAGAGGTCACAATTCAGTTGTAAGCAGGGGTTCATTTAAGCCGGATCTTGCCAGAACAGATCGGGGAACTGTCTTATTTTGAAAGGAACATTCTGGCAACTATCTGTTAGGTTCTGGCAACTCAGGCGACCAACTTGTGCTATACGCAGGGTTCAAATTACGGGTGAGCTAAAGGGAGCCCTCAACTTCCACACCCAGGGGGAACCCGAAAACGATCCTGGTTCTACTTATATTACATTATTTATGTGGACTCTCCTGGGAGTATTTTGAGCTGAAAGGTGCAGAGCTCTGATCGTTGATGCACACAGACAGCCGCGTCCTGAGCACGGCCACATAAACTTTCTCAAAGCGTCGCCACCTCAAAAACATATAACACGCGGTCGTTTATGTCGGCTCGTATCCTCTTTGGCTCTTTGCTGCGGAGCGCATCACCTGTTTTGTCCTCCGGTGACTTAACCTCAACTGGTGCAGATGTTTAGAGCAGCAGGCGCACCAGTGAGTCTGCAGCCGCTGCACAGGGGGAGGGGGCAGGGCTGAAGCAGGGGAACAGTAAAGATGCAAAAACTACCATTGTTAAAAGAAATGTGTGTTAACTTTGAAAATGTGGGAGTAACATTTACCCCCCCCCCCCCTCCAAAAAAAAGAAGTTTTGCTTCACTTTAATTTACAGTTTATAAAACCTCGAATGATGCAGAGTTGATGAACTTTTCACGGACACGTAAGTCTTTAAAATATAAAATATACGAGAACACAACATGACATGAGAATACATGTAAAACAACGTGTTTTAGCTCTGTTTGTCGGCTACAGAAGCACATTTTTAAACAAGATACATGAAGTTGCCATCTTAAAAAACTGAAGGAGAAATTATTTGTGTGATATGCTTGTCAGCCGCTAGATGGTGCCATCGGATAAGAGAAATACTTCGGAAAGAGAATTAATGACATGAAAATTTGGTTTTATTGTACAATTAGACAAACATAAACATGTTATGTAATTTAATGTTTTTTTTTATCTTCACTCTTCTTGCTTTTCATGAAAAATCAGCGGCCAACTCATAAGCATCACAGACTGCATTTTCACCGTCTCATTTGCTTAGAGATCTTATCGTTGACCTGTCCTCTGAACGTCTGATCACCGCCCAAGGCATTTTAATATAAAAGGGAGGGGAGAGAAAATAAACTGCTGTTAACTCACCTCCTTTGACTCCTGTGGAGGTGAGGATGGGTGGCAGGCCGTCTAAAGGAATGAGGTTGGCAGAGCTACTGACTAAAGTAGTGGAGCCCCAGCCATAAGGCCCACAGGCCTCCTTCAGACAGGTTAAGGATAGAGAATGATTCGTGTTAAAATCTGTTAACTATCACACCTGCAAAGGATCTCAGCACAACAACAACCTACACCGATGGTCGTCCTATGTGATCTTGAGGTTCTCCTGATCTGTGGTGATCCCACAGGACTCTTATCAGGCTCGCCCAATGCCCGCCTCATCAGTGGTGAGAAGGAAGGACCTCTCACTGGACTAGTCGGAGCCGACTCCGACTGCTGGTTGGTCAGGATTTCATCTGCAAACCACACCTTCCTCCTCCCTCCTGGCGGCGTCCCTGAGAGAGAAGACACCCGAGTTGCTTAGGTGTAATTTCAATCGTGGACTTTTAGACAGCTGCAACTACATTTTGCTCACGTTTGACAAGGGTCGAGTGACACGAAACACAAACTCGTCCCTCTTTGCCATCCAGGTGTGTCAGTTTGAACTTCAGATTGGAGCAAAGTGCACAAAAAACCTGACAACACACACACACGAATACACGTAAAAGTCACTGATCACACAAATAAAGTTTAACTTTGAATGTCCCCTCACCTTCCCACAGGCACGACAGTGGTGCCTCCTCTTGGTGAATGTAAACTTGATGCCACACTTCATGCAGACCTGAGCTTCGGCATCAGGGACCCACAATGGGGCCACCTCCCCAAGAGCACTGCTTTGATCCTTGGACAGAATCCCAGTTGGACACAACTGGGACTCATTATCAGGAAGTGCACCCTCCTTTGTTGCTCCCTCCTCATTGGCTGTCAGGACCTTGCTCATCTCCTTTCCTTCACTGGACCTGACCATCTTGGCCCCTGTGTTCAAGTCTTGTTGTAAAACACTTGCAGGTGCTTCAGTTGCATCTGAGCTGCAGGAATGCTCTTGCTGCTCCTGCCTACTTTCCTCCAGTTCTTTCTCCTCAACCACAGAGTCCTCTTTCGATGGGAAATCCAGAGGCTTCTTGCCTTCCACCTCATTCTCCTCCACTCCCTCAGGCCATGTGGCCTCTGTGGGACTTGGAACTAGAGGACTGGAGGACTCCAGCTCCCTCCAAGTGGAGATGGCAGTCATGGTGCAGCTGTTCTCATCCAGCTTGGAAGGTGGAGTGGTTTTGGTGGGGTGTTCTGATGCTTTCTGCTCATATTGTTTAAGTGTGTTTCTGATCGCTGCACCAGAGGTGGCTTTAGATGGGGATTCTGGCCCGATTTGACCGCAGCCCAGTCTGGGCTTTGCCACATCTCCATCTCTGAGGACCAGGAGGCAGGGCCGGTTCAGCCAGTGCTGCTTGGAGTCCTGAAGAGATGGGTTGTCTCCTTCCTCTGTTTAAGAAGAAGTAAAGATTCATGTTTCCATTCCCTTACCAACGACAATAAATACCGAAAGTTACACAAAACAACTCGAGCTTGCAAATCTGGATATTTATGTGCTCAAAGAGAAAATTCTGCACCTTTATTCAAATAAAAGTAGCGCCTAATGCTTAAGGCATGTGCACATTTATTGTCAAACAGGATGCTCAGCACATACATTTTTATTGGTTCTTACCAGCAGACTAACAAAAAGACAATTTGTCCCAATTCTGAAAAATAAAAAAATAAAATAAAATCTCAGATAGCTCAAACAGGAATCCAGACCGAACCGCAGTATTCTTTACCGTTGGACTGTCCCTTCCACAGCTTTTCAGGACTTTCATTCTCCACTTTGCAGTTTTACCATAAGATGTTTTTCCCAAAGAAAAACTATATCAAGAATTTCCAACTTTTTGGATATTGAAAGGAAATGCCCCAAATGTGAATACTTGCAATAAACAAAATATCGGAGCTGCAAAACTTGTTCTTGTAAATAAAAGAACAACAAATGATGCATAGCTGATGACTTTTGCACACCACTGTTTCAGGGGCGTATGCATGACCTGACTTTTGCTTATGATCATCAGCTGAACTTAGCCTTAAATTGTTTACACGTGTTATTTGGATCAAGAACGTGTTAAAGGCATCATAAGTCTTAACTGAACACATTTTATTAAAAAGTGTTTCAGTAAAATAAAATAAATGCATAATTCATAATCACCTACACCTCTTCCGATTGCACTAATTAGTCTTTAATTGGCTGCAGGTATTAAAAATGGCGCTAATGACCATTGGTGCGCTGCTGCAGATGGTTGGATCGTACTTAAAGCTGTCTCAGGACTAAAACTCGTTAAATGACTAATTTTGCAAATGAAACTGCATTGCAGCTTTACTGTTGGGGGTGTGAGTGTAAGGGCGGGGGTCCGTTCTGCTGCGGGGGACCGAAAACATTTCCCAAAATCATCTGCAGCGATCCCGCTCGCTGCGCGTGCTCTTCCCGGGACTGTGACGCATTCAGCACACGTGCAAATGTTTTAACCCGGTCGCGTGCATCGCGGCCCATCCGGCCGGCGGCAATGCGACACCAACCTCTTTACATCACATCCAACCGGTAGTGCTGCGTCAGCATTTAAAAAAATCTTCCTGCGTATCATGATCCTGCAGCGCGCGCATGCTTCTACCGGGACAGCGGCGCCTATCCATCCCGGATTCAAACCAATGAAGCGTCTTACCCTCCGTTATTTCTCCCAAAAGGCTTTCATTCTCATCATCCCGGGCGGAGAAGAACTTCAGCATTGTATCCTGTTACATCTGAGTTCCGAGGAAGCAGCGGGGTCCTGCTCACACAAAGCAGGAGGATGGGATGCTTTAGCCCCCCTCCACCCTGAGATCTCCCTCCTCCTCCTCCGTGCCTCTCTGCAGCTCTTTGAAGAAAGCCAAGAGGTGTGCAGGAATGTCCCTCCCCGCCCGGTTTGCTCTCCACGCAGCCCGCAGGACGGTGTGTAAGCCAAGATAACAGAGCGGTGATGCTAGATGTATATCAACCCAGCCTCATGCACAAATCTGTCGCCCTCTAGAAACTGCTAAAGTTTCAGCGAGTCAGCAGAATTAGTGGTTCAGTTATTCCGCAGGGACGAAAATGATACAGAAGCACCTGCCAGTGACAACAGAGACACGTTTAAGAAACCTGAATCACTTTTATTTGGTACTTTAAACTATTAAGATGTGTGCACTGGGTTCTGGTGCTGATGATGGATGCAAAAGTGGGGCTTGTTTACGCTTTTTCACAAATGCACAAATAATTCATCCTCAGCCGTCAGCAGGACATTTTAAAAAAAAGTCTGTGAGATAGTTTCTGATGGTTCACAGATTTAAGTAAGACTTGAACACAGGGAGGTTTCTGCTTCATTAACGGTCCAGTTCACGAGAATGTGAACCTCATGCGTCAGTCCGCCTCGTTTCTTGATGCTTCATCGAAGTTCTCTACCAGATCTACACAACCAAAGCAAAATGTTGTAACAGGTGAGGTTTTAATGCTTTATTTTCACTTTTTCACCTAATTCTCTGACGCAAAGAACAAACCTGGAGCGTCGTCATCCTCTTCCTGAATGTCCTCTACTCTTAGAGCCTTGCTGTCAAGAGCTGAGAGGAAACAGACAGAAGTTATAGCATTATCTTCTTTGATTAGATGTTCTTACAGTTAAGAGACACCATCTAAAGCCATAGAACGACCACTAGCTGACAACGGAAATCACCAAACGCGAGAATATCCTACTACAGCTGGCTCTTCAGACAGTCCCAACCTGTGAAGTGCACAACCTTAATCCAACATAACCGTGTGTTTGTCTTCAAAACGATAGAAATACCATACTGTCAAACAGTTTGTTAAAAACTGAAATCAAATATTTAATTTTATGAAGGGTGTGAGCTCTTCTAGTTTCGCCCTCGAGTCTTCTCAAAAAGCACAGGAACTATTAAAAGATCAGGGAATGTGGATCACATAATATTTAAATATTAGTTGATTAATGGATGCTGAGATGAAGAAAAATATCATCAAATCCACTTGGTATGAGGCACATTGATTCGTTCCCAATAGAGAGTACAGTGGAGGCAGAATCATGGTAAGGGTGTGCTGCTAGTGACAATTAAAGATTCCTGGTGAACATTTCCTACAAAAAGTCGGGGCCTCTCTGCTAAGGCTGCTGCCCCCATGACCCAGATAAGTAGAGGAAAATGAATGGATGATGGTGTTAAAATATCCCTAACTACAGAAATCCATTTAAACCACGTGTGAAAAACACGTTCGGTTAGAAACCATGATGAATGGCTTAATTAAAATAACTCCTGGTGTTGATTTTACCTGTAGGCTGCAGAAGCACCCACCTTGCCGTGGAAAGTGTTCAGCCAGTTTGCGCAGGCTGCTGATGCTTTCTGCTCCCAGCTGACTGAAGAATGCGGGGAAGCATCTCTGTTAGCCGCTTGGTCTCAGCATGACCTGAGATGGCGAAGGTGTTGGCAGACAGAGGCCTGAACTTTAGGGTTGTTATAATGGATTGCAGTTCCGTCATCTTTGATCACGTTGACCTGTGGAAAAAACAAAAGTTGGGTCCTAATGCGTAAATGTTCGCACGAAGCAGAGCGCCCGAGTCTTAGAAACGTATCTCCTCGATTCCAGCTATGTGGTTGACAACCAACTTCTTTTGCGAGCTTTTTGTCTTCAGCTGTTGCCGTCCTGTAAACCACCTTCTTCTTTCTACGAGGCAAGCCCTGGAAGCCCAAAGCACAAGATCTCCAAATATGCAGGGACAGAAAACGTTTGGAGAAGCAACAGAGGAACGTAGTTCCTGAAAAACCATTTACTGGAATTATAGCAGACTTTTGTGTTAATGACTTTAAGTGTGACACCTTCCTAATCTTAGCCTTAACTCACTTTCACCCAAAGATGTAATAAAGCAATCAGTTTGAATGTTTCATTCAGATATGTTACATTTATGAACATAAAGTTCACAACTTTTCATTCTGTAGACAACTGGGAAACCAGATGATACCGGCGATACCCTTTTGAACTTTGCTAAAGGCACATCTGATTATGAACTTTGAGAACTGGTTTTAACTGGTTTAAATGTGCTCAAACCTTGACGTAAGATTTTAAACTGACCAGGAAACAAAAGCATATGTCATGCTGGAATGTGCGTGCTAAAACGGAACTCAGCTTTTCAGGTCATGTGAGATTTTAAGAGACTTTTAATGGTTTTTCAGTGTCTTAATGGTTTTGGCCCGTCTTATCTCTCACAACTGCTTTTACCACATGAACCCTCGCGGTCCCGGCGCTCCTCTGGCAGCCGTCTCCTTGTCATTCCTAAAATCAGGACTCACACTCACGGTGAGGTGTCTTTTAGTTATTACGGCTCTCGCCTCTGGAACGGGCTGCCGGAGGATCTCAGGGCCGCAGAGAACGTTCATGTTTTTAAGAACAGGCTAAAGACCCACCTTTTTAGGTTAACTTTTAACTGATTACTATTTATTGCTTTGCTTGTTTTACTTATTTAGTTATTTTAATTACTGTTGTGTTACACATTTATGTTGTTTTTATATAATCACATTTTATTGGATATTTTACTATCCAGTTCTTATTAAACATTACGTATTTTAATTATTCCAGTGTTTCCTCTGGGGAGCCCTCTGCCTCAGGACCGGTGGTCGGTGGTGGCAGCTAGGGCGCTATTTGGGTAGTGCCCAGGTAGTAGTGGGGTTGCCAACCTCCCTCCCAGGGTGCCCTGGATTGGTGTCTTGGCTGCTGCCGTGGATCTGCTGCCGTCGAGGCAGATGGCTCCCTTGATGGCGTGTCCAATCTAAGTTCAGCCTAGTGTTTACTGTGGTCTTTTAATGTGTTGTGTGTATGAGTGTGTGTCTGGGAATGGTTTGTGGATTGGGGTGAAACTGTCATTATTAATGTGGGAAAGGGAGGGAAGGTGGGTTATGGGTCATTTAAATCTGTTAAGCACTTGGTGTTGCTTCCTGTGTATGAAAAGTGCTATATACATAAAGTTTGATTTGATTCGGTGTGTGTGTGTGTGTGTGTGTGTGTGGGGGGGGGGGGGGGGGGGGGGGCTTTCTCACGCAAGTTTGCATACTTTGATTTCCCCTTATAAATGAAGTTATATTGTTACAATTAAGTAGACAAAACAAGATTTCTGTACTATGAACAAAAGCAGAGAAACTTAAAATAAACAACAGTCTTTGAGGTGTTTCCTGTACTGTGCCACTTTAGCTTAAGTAATTACCTTTACTCCAATCCGCACTTGGGCTTGAAGCTTTGACAGTTTTTCTTGGTTAATTTGTCACCTTTTAAAGGAAAAAAAACCTGAATAACTGAGCTGCTCGTTAGCAGAAGGCAGAATGTCCCTTCAGCTGTCTGAGCGCAAAAGAGACAAAAGCACAGCTGGACAGCGCGTCTGCACTCCGAAAAGCTCGGCTTCGAGCTCGAACAGATAAGCAGCCGGTGCAGAAACACCACACACCTCTCACAAACCACACTTATTTAGACAGCCCTGCTGGAAACTGCTCAGGTCTCTGCAAAAGTGAGAGTGGAGGTATTCTTCTTCTTCTTCTTCTTCTGTGGAAGAAAGATGGATCTGTGCTGCCGCCCACAGGACGATTTGGATATTACAACAACAAACCGGTTGTTTGAAGCTCCTTTTGGGGAGTTTTTTAGTTCTTCTGCATACCAAAAATAACGTTACATGTATTTTTTCAATTACTAGCAACTTTGTAGAATATTTGAAAATTTAAGTTAACAAATTCTGCTGAAATAAACTTGTTATTTATTTTACAGACTTTGATAATGTGACCTTTACTTATTAATCAGAAATTTAAATGTAGCTATGCATATTCTATATTTAGAAAGTAATTATTTTAATGTCAAACTCTAGATAATTATTTATTATGTTTGTATTTTGTAGTTTAATCAGTTTTAAAAAGATGCTGTGTGTGGTTTTACTAAATCACCAAAAGAGGGCGACAATTGTTCAGTAGAAGCTTCGTTTTAAATGAAAAATACAATATTACAATTTTAACAACACTAATTTCCCTAAACCCATTTCAGGAAACGTTTACCTAATTATTACATTACCTAAAATGCCTTCTTAACATTTACATTTCAATAAAATTATGATAAAATCTCACTGAAAATTTTGTTTAAAAGAGTGAAACAAAACAAACTTTATTTGTTTATTTTAAAATTTTAGTTTGTTGTTAGCTTTCAGCTCCGTGTGTTATTTTCTAAGATACCAGTTTAGTTTTGTCTGGAACATTTTCAGATTTGTTATATGTTATTGTACACATGATAAAAATCAATCACTGCTTTCTGTATCTCATTTTGTTTTAATGGCACTTTGAGTCCTCACAACCACCCTGTTTAACTCTGCTGCATAAATACACTTTAAATGTTTTCCCTGCTAAATGAAAGGAGAAAAAATTTTTTTACATGGAGTTCCCCTGTTGATAATGCCAAAATGCTAGAGCATTTTATTCTGAAATAATTGATTGGAAGAGTTGTGACAATTGTAATTTTATAAGTGTAGTTTTCTCTTCTCCTTGTCCAGGTAAAAAATATGAGATGTCCTGGCTAATGCGGGGCAGTTGGCAACTCTAGTTGGAGCCTAATGTAGCAGCAGACGGCAGGACTTGGCACCCTATTTTCTGATATTTGGACATCTCACCTTGGATTGGCTATCAGCAAAACAGGTCTACCCCTGGGTCTGTTTGCTTTGCAATGTTGATGTTTTATCTCCACATATAACTCAAGCCTGAAGGAGTTCTGCTATGGGGTGGAGGTGCTAATGCTAATGGTTCTACTAGCGTCGTGCTCTGCTCTCTCCTGGACGCTAAAACAACAACAGCCTTCCCCGTCATGAGCCATGATGGATGAGTTACAGTGTGAAGTAACATCCAAAAAGTTCAATTTTCACCTATGTATTGATCAACATAATGACCTTTCATCTACAGACATAAATTCACTTTCTATGTGGCCTTCTAAATCCAGAAGGTTCTACTCAGCGCGTGTTGACATTCCATGAAGACAAAACATTCAAATACACACTCTGTCCCAAGGTCCTACACTCTTTGCTTAGAAGCCAGAAAACAATCTTCATTCTGAATAAGTGAGGACTCCATGATTTTATAGTTATAATTTAAATTACCATGTGTGATGACTTACCAAGATGTTTGAAACAAATGTTTGAATAATCTGTGCTTAAATTAATGAATTTGAAATTAGTATTGTTCTTACAATGATCCATTTAAATCACAAATCAGTATGTGGTTGATTTAACAAGTTAATCATTGTTTACGCTCATACACATTACAGTGGGATACATATTGGGGTTGATATGCACCTTACGTAAAAGTTTTAAGACATTCTCATTCACAGTGTTAAAAACATCTTGTATCTGAAGAAGGCGTGGCTTTCTGAGGGATGTTGGTAAACACTCAGAAACGTGTCAAATTCTGATTGGCCAAACGTGGCCAGAAATCATAAGAAAGTAGTTTAATAAAATAAGAATTGCTTCCCGAGTAAAAACTCATGCTCATAAAACCTGCATTAAAAACTCAGAGTGACTGATGATTTTCTAAATGACAAATAAAATATGCTTTTCAGTGAATCTGCTCTTTAATGTTTTTATTATTTAAGCCTTTAACATAAAATTTAACAAGCTCATGCAAAAAATGGTCAAATATTCTATGTGAGTTTCTAGGCTACCATTTAATCCTTTAACAATAATGCATGTAGAACATATCTCGAAAGGTCTGATGGGTGATTCATGTGATGAGGAACCAATCAGGTCTGTAAATAAAAAAAATTAGGCATCCTAGTTGCTAAAAGGTGTGTTTCACATAAACTTATAATTACACATAAAAGTTATTATTTGACAAATTCACATATGTGTGTTTTCTAAATAGTACCAATTTCTGACAAATCTTTTAGGAGCAACTAGTGCACAGAACAAAGCTGAAAATGCAGTGCAACAACAGTAGTGCAGGTTTATGCTGAACAACTTATTAAAGTGACACAATGACATATTTGGCACATCTCAGTCTTGATTTTTCAAGTTTTTCCAGATCAATCCAATCCAACCAAGGCTCAGGTGATGGATTTGATGCCAGTGTCTGGCAGCCTATTGTGTAGGCAGCAGTCTGACTTGCTGGTCTCCACTGAGCTACTGAGTAAGCTGCGCTGCCAGCGGTGAAAGCTGTGGAGCTTTGAGCCCCAGCAGCTGTGAAACAACATGAAGATTTTCTTCAGAACAGCCTTCCTCAGGAGGATGTACACCCAGGGGTCCAGGATCTGGTTCCACGTTGCCATGCGTACCGTCGTCAGCAGACGGAAACGCGTAGATTCACCGTTGGCTTTGGCGCTCAGAACAGTGACATGGATCTGGATCACAGAAGCACAGAACGAATAAACAGAACAACTCTGGAATGGAAAGAAATAATTTCCTGTCAGCTCAAGCTGGCTAGTGGTGTGAGTGTCTGCCCTGGGAGTGGAAGATCGGGGTTCAAATCCTGGTCAGTTCATACCAAAGACTTTAAAAATGGGACCCAATGCCTCCCTCCCTTAAGCCGGGTGTACACTGTGCGACTTTTTTCACTTTTTTGAGCCGATTTTCCAGTCGTGCGAGAATCCACGACATTGGGGCGAGTTTTGCGCCGAGCGGTCGTGTAGTGTACAGGGGGTTAAGAGAGGCGATTAACACCACGTGACCAGCTACCGATCAGCAATCGTGAGCTCGCATGGACTTCTGGCGTGTTTAATATTTCGCTCGTCCCTCGTGAGGGTATTGCACTGTTGAAGCGGCGCTGCGACCCAAAATGTATCCGAACCGCTCACGGTGCATGCGCAATCCTGCATCAACACCGCTCGCTCGCTATTTCCCTAATAACACACGCTGTTCGTTTTTGTTTCTACACGTTTTTTTACTCACATAGATTGTCAAGAAAGCGTGTTTGTCGTGTTCATGTCAAATTAAACTGATCACAAAACACAGATTTACTTTCTTTATTTCGTTTTCCTCATCCAACCCCCATAAATCCCTGTGTGTCCTGCAGCACTCCCGAAGGACAACAGGCAAAAACAAGACAAAAAGTCTGACGTGTTGAGTAAAAACTGCTATTTTTAGCATATTTTTAGGGCCGACGTGCTGCTACCAGACGTACAGTGTGAGCAGTCAGGTCGCATGCGAGAACTGGGTCGTACAGTGTGAGCACATGACTCGTGAGATCTGCTCTGCGAGTAAGTCGTACAGTTTGAGCTGAAGCTGAACGCTGCGAGTGAAAAAGTCGCACAGTGTACGCCCGGCTTTAGCCTGGCCACGCTCCATTGACGGCTCTCGGTTGTGGGGCGGGTTCTACCGTTGTCTTTCAAATGATCTCCGCATTCCACTGGACAATGAATGTGACATACTCTTGTTTCACTCTGTTGCATCATCCCACCCACCAGGCACATAGAGTGCCCTGATTGGCCCACAAAGCGGATAAAGCTCTGTGATTTGTTCACTAAGCAGATAGAGCACTATGATTGGCCCACCATTATGGACCAATCACAGTTCTTTATGTGTTTGAAACCCCTCTAGAGAGCTGCGATTGGCTAGCCAGAGTCCTGGTAGGAGCTGCTGAGGTTCCAATAGAGCGTGCCTAGACCAAACTTTGCAAAGCAAGAATTTGGTCTAGTTCACTAGGCTATCCCTCCCTGACACTCAGCTTTAATGGGTTGGATTGGGGGTTAAACCACCAAATAGTGAGTATAGCCGCTGCTGCAGCTCACTGCACCCTAATTTCACCAGTGTGCGATGATGACTAATGAGACTTTGAAACAAACCAGATCCAAACTATATTACTGCATGGAGCAGTTCTGACAGCCACTGCTCAGTGAGATGATTGGCTTTCATTTGCAGAGACTCTCCACCTATGATAGCACTGCACTGCAGAGAAACGCAGAAGAAAGAACTAAAATATCAGCTATTTGCTGCTGCTGTTTACATTCAGGAGAGTGCACACTTATGTCAGCCTTTCCACTGCAATGATGACAACAACATTATAAATATTATTATTATTATTAATATTATTATTAATATTAATAATATTTATAATAATAATAATAATACATTATTATTATTTATTATTATTATTAGTTTGACTGATAAGCTACAATTGAGATATTCTCATTTGTAAACCTGCATGAATTAAAGAAAAACTTGTCACAAAATCTCACACACAGTAAATCTGATGATGATCATTAATCCTGAAACAGCAGCAAGTATGTAAGTCAGTAAGTTAGCTCATTGTGATAATAATTCCTGTGTTTGCATGGAGAAAATGGAATACTTTACATTTGATGACCTAATCAGTAGTCACTTCACTTGTGAGTTTACTAAAATATTAGAATATGGTGCAAAAGTTCATTCAAGTCAGTTATTCAACTCAAAAAGTGAAACTAATATGAGACAACTCATTGCACACAGATTCAGATATTTCTCAGAAAATTAGAATATTGTGAAAAGGTTCAATATTCTAGACTCAAAGTGTCAGCCTCTAATCAGCTAATTAATCCAAACACCTGCAAAGGGCTCCTGAGCCTTTAGACTGTTTCTCAGTCTACGATGAACTACTGAAATATATGGACATTTGCAACATGCTCAGCTTTTCGAGTTTCACCCGTATGTTTGGACGACTGCTTCACCCACAAAGAATAAAATAACATTTTCTTCATTTTTTATTCTCACCAGATGTCACAATAACAGAACTCTGCCAGATTACTGTCTCTTTTTAAACCCATCATGCATGTCACCAACGCCAACACAAAAACATCATGCTAAGTTCATTATAGCCTGCATTAGATGTGCTTTGAGGATCATAAAAATAATTCAACACATATGCTTGAAAAGCCACTAAATGATCCCCATCCTCACTGACTGGTACTTCGCTCTCGTTCTGCAGGACAAAACAACACTAATCAGGCCTTTTGAGTTAATGAGCTCTTGTTAAAATGAAAGTCAGAGATTTACCAAGGAGAACTTCTTACCAGTAATGGACCCCAGCACACACAGGACACCAACATGATAGCCAGGAGCTGACAGATCATCTCGATGTGGTAAGAGGTGCCTCTGCAGCGCTGCTTGTTGCGCAGCCTCCCAACCAGCAAAGCACAACTCGCAAGCGTGTTACACACAATGGAGAGCAGCAGCGCCAGCAGCCCGAGAACAGAGAAGATCAGCGGCAGCAGCACATCCAGCCAGTCTTTGGGCTGCTCCATGTGGAAGAAGCACCAGCTCCTGGAGCTCTGAACCTCATAAGGTCTCTGCACCAGCATGGGCAGTAAAGCCACCAGGGCGGCCAGCAGCCAGGTGAGCCCCAGCAGCCTCTTAACGTGATGGGAGGTCAACACTGTTGAGTGGAAGATGGGCTTGGTGACTCCGATAAAGCGCTCCACAGCCATGGCACTAGACAGGAGCAAGGGGCTGAGACCATAGAACACCATGCATGCTCCAAAGATGCTGCACACGATGCCATGGGGGTCAAAAGTCTCCCACTTCCTGTGAAAGCGGTAGACGTAAAGCACCAAGGAGCCATTGATGAGGTGACCCAGCAGGTCTGTGACCACCAGGCTGCTGGCGAACAGCAGGAAGGACGCCTTGGACTTAATGCGGAGCCGCTGGTAGGATTTGACCAGAATGACAAGAGCAACGCCGTTGGACAAGATGCCTACAGTCATGGAGATGACAGAAGCCGTGACAGACCGCTGTTTAAGGCAGCAGGTGCCATTGGTGGCAGCGACCTCTGACCTGTAGAGTGTGTCTGAGCTCCCATTGGTTGACATGACTTCCATCTGTGAGAAATGACAAATGAAGAAGCTACGTTCAACAGAAAAAATCACCTATAGACTTTTAAAAGAATTTAAATGTAACAGATATTTTAAGAAAAGGTTCTTAACTGATTATTTTTTCATTTAAAATGGTGAATGTTGACATTTAAATAACTATGAGGGTTTCTTAAAACAGGAATTATGGTTTTCATCCAAACCAGGCAGCATGAACCTCCCAGCCTTTCTCTAAAAACAGAACCAACAGCTCTTACCTCGGATGTCTGTCCTGTCCGGGTAGAAAGCCTCACGACTCACCGCCTGTCTTCAGAAAACAGCGAGCAGACTAAAGAGACAGCCTGTCACAAATCCGCTCTCCTCCAAACTCCTGCCTGCGCGCAGCAGGTGTTGAAGAGCGCACATCCGCGCAACACAGACGCACCTCAGAGGGACGCTGCACTTCTGTAGATATGTGCAGCGTTATTACGCATTTACGGTGTTTCCAGGAATTAAAACCTCCGCTCATAGCTGCTGCAGGCGTCAACAGGTGATGGGTTCCCTGCTGTCAGCTGAGTTTGGTCATTACATGTTCAAAGCAAATGGAATTAACCATAGAACAAAACAGAAAAAATATTAGTTTTTCTGCAGTTCAAACCTTGTCACATATTAAGCACATAAACTGGCTTTTACGTTGGACTTGGACCAGAAATCCAACTCCCAGAAAAGTTTTATTTCCCTCTTAATATTTAGTGTTTTTTACACAAATCTAATTTTCACATCTTCTGTTCTGACCTTCATAAGAATCCTCCTGCAGCCTGAGTTGTGGGGAATTTCAGGCAGGTTCAATGTGGTGGCTGAGCCATGGTTTACGTGTTCTTCTTTCTTTTGTTTTTTATTACTGTCATGCGCCATATTCAACCTCCCACCCTGGTTTATTACTATCATCTCCTTTGTTTAACACTGTGATCCATTAGTTTTACTCCTACTTAGCTTTTTCCGCTATTATCTCTCAACAGAGTTCTTCATGAGGACCTTTTCCAACCCATTCTTTTAAAAAACGTCGTTTTATTTTTTGTCTGATTCATCTAATTCACAGAATCTTCTTTTTTTAAGCATTTTCTTTAATTTTGTGTATTTTTTCTATGTATTTATTTAGCATCCGGCATGCATGTGGTGAAATGGGAGAGCCACAAATTGCAAATAAACAAAAAAAGAGGAGAGAAAAGGGAAGTGGCATAAGCTACAGATCAATGTAACGCAGGTATGCTTTTTCTACTGAAGGTTTGTTGTTTTAGACATGAATTATACTTTGGTAACAACCTTACAATAAGGGTACCTTTATCAACGGTACTTAATGCACTGTTAAGCATCAATAATCCCTTTAATAAAGTATTAACAATTATGTGAGCAGTCCTTAAGGACACCAATAATACCGGGAACATTAATAAAGAAACCCTTTGTTTATTCATGCTTAATAATGCACTGTGACATTAATAAAGGGACTCTTATAATAAAGTGTTATCTATGCTTTTTAATGTTCAACTCAATTATATAAAAATATAAAATAATACCAAATAGTGATAAAAATGAATAGATAAGGGGATAAACACATATATCAATATGATAATGATGATGATGATGATGATAACAACAACAACAACAACAACAATAATAATAATAATAATATTAATATTAATATTAATAATAATAATAACCACATCAACCATGGCTCCTGCTATAACTATTCAGTTATTTACATGTGGCAGCTCCATCACCATCACACAAAAGGTAAACATAAATAATAAATGAAACAAGTAAACTTGTTATTCATTGAGAAGCTCTGCTGATGTTCTCTTCTCTGACTGGGTCTGAGAGTGGGTTTCTAATCAGACAACATGAACATTAAATGCTGAAGCAACAGAAGAAAATGTGGATTTTCTAAAAGCAGCAGGTCTTACGTAATTAGCCCCTTCCTCGTACATTGAGTTGTTGACTTGTTGGTTGTTGTCGACTCCTTTACCAAACACGACTCTGAATCAGCGGCTGTGGAGTCCAAGTGTTGATTAAGTCTCCTGACGTCAGCCCAGCAGCTGGAGAAGCCACTTGAAGCACTCTAAAATGACATTCTGTTTGGTGTCAGTCAGCTTCATCACACCACCTCCAGGCTGCAGCTCAGGCTGAAAGCGTAAGTCACTTCACCCAAACATGTTAGACTAAATTAGTCGTCTCAAACGGCCACATTACAGACACCATCAGAACACTGCTTAGCTGCATAGAAACAGGTTTTTCACAGATAAAGTGCATCATGCTCTCAGCCTCGTTTTTCACCAAATGCATCTCTCAGGCATTTGCGTGATTTCACTGCACTTCACTCATCACTGAGCTATAATGAGACTTCAAAAATGACGAGCTGATTTCTTCAAATAACTTAAAAATGAAGCAGAGATTTTGTTATTTCCCATAAAAGTTTCTTCTGCCTGCAAAACGAAGAAATTGCATGTTTTCTTTATGTTCTGTAAAGGTTTATTTCTCCCATAGTTTCTTGTTTCACTCATTTTTCTTCTTTTGTGTTTTCATTCAGCAACGTGATGAGTGAATAAGTTAGCTCGTCGTCTGAAAAGAAGGATTGATGATAAGTGGGATTTTAAAGAAGGTATTTTATTTGCTTCTGAATTAAAAGTTGTGTGTTAGATTCATATTTGTACAGGTGAGCCGAAAATGTTTTTTATTTAAAAAAAAGTAAAGTCTAAGAACGTTTGTGACCTCCTTCACCATACAGAAACAGAGACTACTTAATCACTTTCTCTTGCTGTTTCACACACACACACACACACACACACACACACACACACACACACACACACACACACACACACACACACACACACACACACACACACGCACGCGCGCACGCACACACACACACACACACACACACACACACACACACACACACACACACACACACACGCACGCGCGCACGCACACACACACACACACACACACATGCACATTAGTCTAGCGGTCGTTGTGAGGATTGTCATTGACTTCCATTCATTTTAGTGACTGAATTGTGCCTAACCCTAACCCTAACCAGTCTACTCCTAACCCTAACCTTAACTAAAACTTAATTCCCCCCATACCTCTAAAACTAACCATCAGAATTCTGTGACATTGTCCCTAAGTGAGGACCAGCAAAATGTCCTCAGTTTGCAACAAATGTCCTCAGTTTGCAGGTAAAAACTTGTTTTGGTCATCACTTTGATGTATAGACCAGTACACACACACACACACACACGCACACGCAGACACACACACACACACACACACACACACACACACACACAAACACAGAGAGAGAGAGAGAGAGAGAGAGAGAGAGAGAGAGAGAGAGAGAGAGAGAGAGAGAGAGAGAGAGAGAGAGAGAGAGAGTACATGCTACTACAAATCTGGACAATACCATTTTACAGTTCCAATTTCATTTATTCTTGTAAATGTGTTTCTTTCTTTATTTATGATGACCTCACAGTTTTGTCCCGCCTGTGTGTTATCTGTTGTCTGTTTGTTGTTTACTGTTGTCCTTCCATTCCCCTTCCCTCGCTTTTCCACGTAGTATGTTTCTTTTCTCCCTGCCTGTCCACTCTGGTGTGTGAGCAAATGCGGTCTAACATGCCACAAACATAATAAAGACTACTATGCAACAGGAAGAATGTCCCCATTCATCTTACTGTAGAGTAAAACTACTCTGGCTTGTCATGGCACACGGATCAACCATCTGTCTGCTTCAGTACCCACACTGTCTAGTATAAATGAGTCGTTTCTCTAATTATTGCTTCTCTATATTATTGTTTTATTGTACTTATTTCTTATTTTTGCACCATGTACTGCAGTAGTTTCCTAATGTTGTGAACCGGCTAACACATATAAACTCTTCTGATTCTGATTCTCCTGCCAGGACAGGACAGGTTAAATAAAACAAATAAAAAAACTACAGCCAGGGAAAAATATATGATGAATTGATCCCTTGAGCCTGCATTTTATCTAATGCACATGTGAGCACAAAGAAAAAAGAAAGAAAACCAAAATTGCATTTAGCTAAACGTTTGCACGTTCATAACCTGATTCAGTTGCACTCAAATTAAGATCGACTTTCCTTTAACCTTTGTTTAACAAAAAAAAACAACCTTGTTTTAAATTAAAACAAGGGGTTTTAATGAATGCCTCAATCTTGAATCACCTCTTGACATTTCCCTTTGATTCATGAAACAAGTAAAGTAAACAGGTTTGTTGGTGACTTCCCACATTGTTGTTGATCATGAGGAACAAAGCAACAGTAAACACTGAAGCATATTGTTGTCTTCAGAGGGACTCTTAGGATCTGCAGCCCTTGTCTAATGTGTGCAGAAGTGTTGATTATAATACAAAGATCATCAGATCTGGTATAAACACTTGTTAAATGCACAAATGAACAAATCCATAATTTTTTTAAAGGACAAATGGTGTGACCATCTGGTCATTTAAACAAATGTCTTTTTTGTTTACGCCATAAAAATAAAGTAAAACAGCATCTAAATGCTGATGGAAGAACTCTGAAAAAGAGAAGGAAACATGCTTTGCTCTTTCTTTCATACAGTTTGTCCCACTTCATCTCGAATCGAATAACAATTTTCTGATCTTATTTTGGAAACAGAACATTTTGTCATCTTGAGGCAGTGATGAAACTTTTCTCTAAGCTTTTATAATTTGGCCTATTGGTCACTAATTATCCAGCCTCTCGTCTCCCGATGCAGCCGTCCGGGTGACATTACACCCTCAAGTGTTGTCACACCCCACAAGCAGCCGAGAGGCTGGTAACAATGTGAGGCGAGCACAGGCATGGGTGCAAAATCACATTCTTTTGTTAGCTCCATCAAATGGGCCAGCTCTAATAGACTGACAGCCTCAGTGGAGTTTAGATGGAGCCTGGAGGAAATTGAGCAAAATGGCAAAATAACCCATAATGTCGGCTTTTTGCCAGCAGCATCCCTTCTTTCTTTGTATCTCCATATTATCACAAAGTTACTCCCAAGCCTAGATTTACAGTTAAGAAAACGTACTTTCTGTCCTTGCACATTTTCTCTGTTCGGTCTTGGTTTTTGTTCTGCCTGCCGTCCCATCGCCAGCATCCTGACCCAAACAGATAATTAAGTTACTGCAAAGTTTAAAAATGTGTCAAAGCCATTAAGTCAAAGAAGGACAGCTAAATAAGTCAGTGAGTTCAGAGGAACAATAAACATCAAAGTGATGCTCAGATCACAACATCTGTTTTTTGTTAATGCTAACATCTAATCTAATCCTTTTAGCCTGGCAAGCCATCCTATATGAGTGAATATAAAGGATCACCATGACACACTGACAGAACGCTGTCATGGTCTGCGTCTGTCTTCCCCATGTGTCTCCTTATGTCCTCCATCCCTCTTTAGATTCCTCCTTTCTGTGTCTCTTAGCGCCCTCATGTGTCCTTTGTCAGGGTCTCTATATGGTGTCCTCTGTTTGTAGACCTTTTTATCATCCCCTCAGGTCCAGGTCCAGTGTTCATTTAGTTATCCTCTGTGCCCCAAGTTGCAGTTCCAGCCTCTTGTTCCCCCCAGCCAAGATAGATGTGTGTGAGTGTGTGTGCGTTTGTGTGTGTATCTTGCCCAGTTCAGGTGTGAAGGCGTAGGTGTTTATGTATGTGTGTGTGTGTGTATTTTGGTGTCCGTGTATTTGTGTGTGTGTGTGTGATTGTGTGTGTGTGCGTATCTTGCCCAGTTCAGTGTGAATGTGTAGGTGTGTGTGTGTGTGTGTGTGTGTGGATGAGCCCTTCCCTCTGACATTTCCCTTCCAGGCCCTGTGCTCTCTTGGTACCCTCTCAGGCCCTGTCCACACGTAGCCGGGGATCTGCCAAAACGTAGATATTTTTCTACGTTTTGGCCTGTCATCCACACGAAAACGGAGTTTTTTCACATGAAAACGGATTTTTTAAAAAACTCCGGCCAAAGTGAAGATCTGCGTTTTCTCCGTTTTGGGTGTCTGCGTGTGGACGGACATAACCGGAGTTTTAAGGTCCGCAACGTCACTTTCCGCGACAAAAAATGCTGACATCACGTGTGCGACCTGTGTTTACACTAGCCGGCATCATGGAAGCCCTCAGAGCTGCGCTCTGTCACTACCCGATCCATCAATTGTCCAAGCGCTTTTTGCTTGTTTGTGTGTGCAAGCAGAATTACTGCTCCTTGCGGAAGACCACAGACGAAGGACAAGGTTAAGAACGGGGGAAGTACTGCCGCCTACAGGTCTGGCATGTCCTTAACAACGTATTTATCCGGGTATGTGTGGACAGAGTTTATTTTTAAAACGCGATGGTGTGGATGCAAGTTTTTGGAGGGGCGGATATTCGTTTTTAAAA